ATATCACACAATGTAACTTTATTTTCTTCATGAAATCTTGTATTATTTTCTTTATTTTTTCCTGCTATATTTTAAATATATTGATAACCAAAATTAGTTGGAAATTTTACAAATCACAAAGATAGATAGATTAAAAATAACAACACCAAAACTAAATAAGTAAAGGTTATATTTTATATGTAATATTTTTTAATTTGTAGAATGTTAAACATTTATAGTAGTGAAGATGAAATTATGGAGATAGGTTCTCCTGAATCAAACCTGAATCTTAAAATTCTAGATGGAAAATTATATAAAGTAATTCATGTGAAAAAGGACAAGGTACAAGCCGAATGTCAAAATTGCACAAGTAAAAAAGTTATTAAAGATTGAACAAACTCCTCTACAAACTTTGTAAACATATTAAAGTATAATGTATTCATTTTTATTTTATAATTATTAACATAATAATACCTATATTTAAGTCCCTCTTAGATATTTGTTATTAAATTATTTTACAGAAGATACTTGATTATCAAATTAAAATCATTTTGGATATATATATATTTTAGGGGTGTACTGATACCACTTTTTAGAGGTCGATCCGATCCGATATTCCTGATATTAAATTGATATCGGCCGATTTCCGATCCGATATCATATCTAATTTAGTATTCTGTAAAAATAACTATGGTTTTAATTTTTAATGCAATTCTAAAAGTATAAAAAATATTTTTATTGTTAAATCACTTTTATATAATAAGTAATAACATTAATCTATATACATATTAAGTAATAAACAATTATATTATGAAATTTGAAATAAATATTTAAAATAATATTTAACATTAATATAGCGAAGATTTCTTTTTAGAAATACCAATATTTCCAATTTATCAGAGGTCAGCTTGCAGCGATAGCAACTGTCAATATCACCAGCTTCACTAAAAACAGATTCTGAAGTGATTATCGCACACTTTTATAAACAGAATGAGCAAAAAAATAACAATAGGTAGTGTGTTTATTAATTAATTATAATTATTAAAAAAATATACATAAAAATGGGTTTCGATTTAATTTATAAAAATAAATGATTTTAGATATAACTATTTTTAAAAATTTTATAACAGTTAAAGAAGCCATTTTTATATCGGATCAAATTTTATAATATTGACCGATAATTGATATTTTAAAATGGGTGAAATATTGGCTCGATCTGATTCGATAAAAAATATCGGCACATCCCTAATATATTTTATATTTAATTATTTTAGCAAGTTCTTATTAGAGATAAATATTTAACCTACAATTGATATATAATATTAGATATTTAAAAGGCTCTTAATAAAATAATTATAATAAGGTAGAATTTAACTTTATTAGTCACTTTTATTTATTAATGATATAAGTAAAATTACATTACAGTATTTATTTACAAAATTTAGTCAATTTAAAATGCATTAAAGAAAATTGTTATGTAATTAATAATTAAATAATATAATGTTGTACATTATTTTCATATTTTTTATATATAATTAATGATTTTGCAAGAAATATAAAAAAAATTTGAAAAGAGATTTAAATGATATTTATATATATGATATTACAAATGCAAGAATTAATAATTCATATTAGAAAATAAAACTAATTTAAAAAATACATAAATATCACAAACAAGTAATGATAAATATTTATTAAAGATAATGAATAAAATAAAACTAGTAAATTTTTTTTTAGAGATGCCATTTAGCCATATACTCCGAATATAAGCTATATTTAAAACAACGCAGAAAATAACCTGCAAATTCTAATAAATCATTTGATTTAATTTTTTTTCTTATTTGCACATTTTTTATTACCATTAAATAACTCTCCCTTCCCTGTTTAAGCTATTAATGGGTAAAAATTAATATTAAAATCCCTGGTTATTATAATTAATTCATCAATAAATATTTTATTAATTATTGCAAATATTCATTCTTATATGCGTATGCTATGTTCTTCACAAATAAATAATATAAACTGTATTTTATAAACTATTCTAATTTAATTGGTAATGATAATTTAAAAGTATCTTGTATTTAAGATACTCTAATTTAGTAAAAGATACAAGTATCTTTTATCTTGTATCTTTTTGATATTTTGAAAAAGATACTAGTATCTGTATCTAAGATTCATATTTTTTATAAAGAATCTGTACTCTGATCAACAGCACATGATTTATAGTATAATATTTTAGGGGACATGGGATGAATTGATTAAACCTATTAAAAGCATCGCTCTCAGTATGTTTGTGATTTGAACCTTTCACGCGGTCAAAAAATATCTACCATTTATTATATTAATTGACCGTTTTCAATAGATCTTTAAGTTATCAAAATCTTATAAAATTTCATCTCTCGTTAAAAATACCCTTAAATTACAACTCAATTAGACTACCACAAAAGCGAGTCAAGGAATCAAGCTGCCCCACAACTTGATAGTGAAGGGCAATGTATAGTTTGAATCAAAGCCTGATGTCGTTATAGTTTTCCTGCAAAAATACAATATTGAATTTCACAATTTTTAATTAAAAATAAGATTCGTTATTTTATATAACTGATTTCACATAAAACATAATGGGTGTGTTTATGTCCACTATATTTTTTTTAGTATGGCTATATGGTATACCCCCCCCCCCCCCCCAACTTTATTATGCAGCATGAGCCCTCAAATAACTTCATTTGTTATTACCAAATAATCCAATAGGTTTATTAATTCTTTCACAGAGACAATTATTTATCTGTTTTTTTCACTCTAATATCAAATAAAATGTTATCCTAAAAGAATTAACGGGGAGTATTTATCTAATGCTACATAGCGTTTAATTATTAATATCTGTTTTAATAAAAATTAATGTCGTAATTTTATCCTTATATATAAAAATAAAATGTTGTTTCTGGGTAATATATGTGGCCAAATCGGTGAGTGCATGTCACCTACAGAATAGATCTGAGCTCGAACCAGGAAGGTTTGAGTTTTTTATGTAGCAAGCTAGGTAGTTGGGGCATGAAGAATATCATGAGAAACGCCTGATTAATTAGTATATTTTAAAATAAATGTGCATTATAAATAGGTCGTTATTTAGCTGTATATTATAACCCCTAAAAAAATATATATATACTAATCCACACCTCACTATTTTCTCTATTCGACATTGTTTTAGCTCTTACTTCTACCTAAACTATCATATTGAAATAAATATCTATCAGATTTTGCCATTTAGAGTATTATAATTATTGCTAATACATACAGCAAATGACAACATATATTAAATTCAGTTCCATTAAAAAATTAAAGTATATCCTATCTTTTAAAATACAAACTTACATCTTCCCAGTGCCTACATGAGATGGAAAGGGGGGGGGGGATTGCCTCCAATTTTTTTGATGAGGGATTGGTATTTATAGGGGTATAGAATAAAGTAAATATAAACTCCATTTGTAGTAAAATAACTAATATTTGAATTTATTAATAAACATTAATTTCGATTTTAATGGTTAATTAAATTTTGTATCGTTCATTCACACAGATCATTTTCATACAGTTTAAATTTATGCACACTCGTGGCGAACTTTTAGTAGTTAGTAACAATTAGTTGATTGTCACTAGCAAAGGTTTACCTGTTATCTAGGAGAGAACTGCAATGGTTTATAGCTCACCGTCCTATTGGCGGAGGCCTCAGTGGGCGAATTGAATAAATATTTTTAAAGCAATGGGCGGACAAATAAAAAAATCAACAATAATTTAAAACAACAAACGGTTGTTAACCATTTTTCGAATACCATTTACCGGCAAACGTTCATAAATGTCAGTCACAAACTGACATAAATACATACCCTTTTCATATTCATTTCAACTCTAATTTTATGAGTTAATAAGTCCATCAGTCAACCATAATTTTACTATTAGGCACGAACTCATAAACATTATACATTCCACGAGAGAAATTGGGGCCATAAATCGCCTCAAAAAGTTTTCTAAGAAAGCGGGGGACTCCAAAATTTTGCCTTACGCCTCTGCATGAAGTGTTTGTCATTTACAAGGAAACAGCGCTACTAAAGAAGCTCATTACATCTCTATATATTTTGTAAATGGTGACAACAACTTAGACCTAAATCATTAACGAATTTCTTCCCTCAGAAAATAAAACCGATATTTCCAATATAGGTTTGGTTATTGTCAATTATATTCAGATATATTGTTTTATCCCTGAGGTTCAAACTAAGACTCATTTACTTATATCTAAAAAAAAATTTTTGGCACCCAAACCTGGTCCCCAGAAAAAATATTTGGCACCCTGGCCCCCAAAAATTTTTCTGCCCCCCCCCCTATCACAAATTTGAATTTTTTTTTAGAATTGATTATTTTTATATTTTTAATATAAATTTTGAATATTTATTCAAAAATATTCAAAAAACATGTCTATTTAAAATTGATTATTTTTATATTTTAAAATAAATTTTGAATATTTATTCTACAAACAAGTCTAGTTTGTAAATTTTTTTCTATACTGTTTTATTTTTATTTTTACCCAATATTAAATTATCATTCATTCATTTTTTTTTTCATTTTTTTTTGTTGTGTATAACATTCTCTATCTCTATAGGTATCACATTTATATTATAATATATAACCAGTTATTTTACTTTACAGCGTTTATTTTAAAATTATGAAGAAACAATAGTTATTAACTCTTATTTTAAGTTAAAGTTAAACAAATGACACGCAACATCACCTCTACAAACTACTAGTAATACTACATCAGAAATTTCAGAAACTGATTCTTCTCATAGTTAGTATAAATTTATATTATTATTTCATGACTTATATGATATTGGTATAGGGCAATATCTATATATTATTATTTCATATATATTTATTTTATATAAGATAAGAGACAGACATTTATTATTAATATTATCATTTTTGTATAATAATTTTAATTATTAAAATAAATATATTCACTCATATTTCAAAATATGAATGGAGCTAATAACCTAGAAAATGATCCTCACTACACTCAGGAGGAAGAAGATGGTAAATAGTTTAAAATTTAACCCAAATTTTTCTATTTATATATTTTTGACAATATCAATAGGAATAGGAGATTATGGTGTTTCATTATTACATTTTGATTTTAAAACAAATAAAGACGAAGAAGAGACTCAATTATCTTCATCTAGCAGTTCAGTCTCTCATAAGAGGCAACTAGTAATTGATTTATAAATATAAAAATATTATATTTTTTTGTTAATCTTTAAAGATATAATGTTTATGACCTTTTTCTAGTTTTTAATACTGAATATCTATAATTTTACTGATCAACTTTACTGATAATCTTCATCAGGGTTGGGCACTACAGTATAGCAAATACTTGTATCTTAAATACAAGATAAATTTTGTGTTTGTTCATTTTCAGCATGCCTTTCCTTCGCCCATCCTGATGACCATTATTACTTATGACCCTTTCCCTCATTACAATTTATTAATTATAATATTTTTAGTGTCAAAATACTCCTCTAATGGTTCAATTCAAATCCCAGGTGACCTTGGCCAGAATAAACCAAATCAAATCAAATTAAACAATTACGTGAAAAAAGATATCCATGGAAGGCAAAGATCATTTCAAAAATCATGGTATAGAGGCCGAGACTGGTTGGAGTATAGTGTAGAAGCTGACGCTGCCTTTTGTTTCCCATGTAGGAAATACTTGCGTAATCCAAGTGATGAATTTGGACAAATGGGATTCAGAAATTGGAAAAATGCTTTAGCTGCCAAGAAGGGACTGCTAAAACACGAGAGCTCAAAAGCTCATTTAAATTCAATTACAATATGGCATGATAAAAATCAAAATATAAACAAAGGTACAGAAATAACTAAAATGTTGGGAGGTGATCAAATTAATCGTAATCAATATTATATTAAATCAGTATTTTATTTGATGCTATTTCTTAGCATAAAAGAACTACCTTTCCGTGGGACTGGTTCAACAAATATTACGGATGCTGCAAAAGTTGAAAACATAATTTATTCTTCTGGGCTATTTATAGCAATGTTTTCCTACACCATCCAAAAAGACCCTGAATTAAATAAAATTATGAAATTTATACCCCAAAATGCCCAGTATACATCACCACAGATTCAAAACAAAGTAATATCCATTATGGCAGATATGGTGCTTGAACATATTTCAGACAAATATAATAAAAGCGAGATGCCTTTTTTTTGTCTTAAGGCTGATGAGACAAAAGATGCTTCAGGTTGTGAAAATCTGAGCATAATAATTCGCTATATTTTTTCTGGAGAAATCCAAGAAAATTTAATAGGAATCATTAATTTAGAGTGTCTTTCTGCTGAAAGCATTACAGATTGCATTTTAAAGCAACTTAATGATCTAAATATTAATTCAGCTAATATAATAAGCCAGGCATATGATGGTGCAAACGTTATGTCTGGCCGAAATAGAGGAGTGCAAACACTTCTTCAAAAAAAAATTAATTAAAATGTTCCTTTTATACATTGCTACAAACACAAGTTGCATCTTGTGATTTAAAATTGGTATAATATATTATTTCTAATTTTTTTTAATTTATCAAATGCATTGTATAATTTTTTCAGGCGTTTTAACGTATCCTGTAAATATACAGGCCACACCCTTAAGAGACTTTTAGACCAGAGGTGGACTTGTCATTTGGAAACATCTCGTAATTATTTATGAGAATTTTGAGGCTATTGGTGAAGTATTATTTTACTTTTCTAATAGAACTCTTAATTCAGAGGTTTCAATTCATGATTCAGTAGAAGCCTCAGGTCTTTTATCTCAGTATTAATATAAATTACATTATATTAGCCATCATAATTTATGAGATATTAATTACAATAGATCCACTAAATAAGTAACTACAATCAGTAGGTACTAATCTAGTTGATGCTAAAAATTGTATTGATTCTACTATCAATATATTAAAAAATAAAAGAAGTGATAATTCTTTTGTTTTGATTATGATTAAGGCTGAAAAACTTTTATCAAAATTTAATCTTACTCCCGAAAAAATCATCATGGGTACGTAAAACGCCTAAAAATTTCCAAGATTATTTAGTTGATAGCAAACTAGAATTCGATTGTGAAAAAGACTCCAATTGGAGTTCTTTAAAAAGGATATATTATAAAATTATAGATAACTTTGTGGATCGTTTTTTAGACTGATTTACAGAAGATGATTTTAATCTTTTAATACATTGTCCCCCCTTAACCCTGATTATTTTTTATCAGATAAAATGGCCCCATTAAAATCTCTGTTAAATTTAAATATAGAAACACTGCATCATGAAATGAAGATAGCAAAAGGATTGCTAGCTTCGGAAGCTAAAAAAATTATAATTTTAAAAATATCTTACATATTATGTATAAAAAAAAATATAATGCATTTAAAGAATTATATAAATGCTACTCAGCAGCGATAATCCATAGGCGTAGCCAGGATTTTCATAAGGGGGGATAATTAAAAAATTACTGGGGCTTCGCCCCCAGACCATCTTTTGGGCGGCCTTCGGCCTGCTTTTTCCCGGTCTTCGGCCGGGTTACTTTAGTCTATATATGGTCATAAAATATTTTTACAAATTTTAATAAAAAAAATAAGCCTGAAACAAATATGAAATATATTTTTATTAGTTTATATAAAATAAAAATATAATAAATTACTTGTATTTTATATACCTTAATATAAAACATGGTAATAATTTATTCCAAACAATTATAAGAAATTTATTTATAAAAAGTAAGTAGACATATAGTTGATTTTACACTATTATATAATTAGTTATAAAATACTAGGTAAAATTCCACTTTTACAGACATATAATATATTACAGTTAATAATTTTACAAATTTTACTAATCAATGCTCTTGATAACGCCATCTATTTGTTTTAAGTAAAAATGATATTTAAATTTAATCTTCATATTATTCATCCCACAATGTCTTAAGATATTTTCTGATGTCCTTATCAATATTTTATTGTTTTCTGTAAAATATATAATTCGCTATATTGGTAAATATTACTTGATTGTCATTTGATAATTAGATATACTTTAAATCTACGACATATAATATTCCACTGTTTGTATTGTGTTTTAATATTTTTTTAATTTATGATTTAATTCTATCAATAGTTTTATAATTATATTTTACTTTTATTAAGATAAATAAATTAAAATTACTCACTTTATAAAAAAATATATTTGATATATTATTTTATTTAGTAATTTTATGGATCTATTATTAATAATTATAATACATTTCACTTCTGTCTTAAGACTTATCTTTGGCTTATATTCCATTTATTAAAAAACATTTTTGGTTCATTTTATATATTTATAAATTTATTTTCCCAAAAATCTATAAATTATGATGAATAGTTTTATTAAAAAATATCAACTTTTACATTCTTTCTTTTAAATTATTATTTAAGATATATGCATACATATTTGAGGGTCAGGGAGTAGAGGGAGGACTAAGGGGGATATTTTTTATTAACTAAAAATGATATTTACAAAAAGTGATAAATTTCTGAAGGGGGGGGGGAATTTCCCCTTGTTCCCCTTCTGGCTACGCCTATGGATAATCATTGGGATATCAACGGCTTCTTATGAGGCCTCGTTCTCTACATTAAAGAGAGTTTTATCGAGCAGTAGAGAGTCTATGAAGGATAAACGTAAACAAAATTTAGTATTAATGGCGTATGAAAAAAGAATAACGCAGAATTTATCTTTTAGTTCATTTATATTAATATTTAAAAATAAAAATCGCCGTATTCTATTATAGTAATATTTTGTTTTGTATATGCATATTATAGTATTATTTTGTTTTGTATATGCATAATATAGTATTATTTTGTTTTGTATATTTATATTATAGTATTATTTTGTTATTAAATTTTTAATAAAAATAGGAAAAAATTTCTATGAATGCGTAATTATTTGTTTGATTTTAAAACAATAGTGCCCCCCCCCCCAAGTAAGCACTTGGCCCCCCTAAGTGAAAATTCCTGGCTACGGCGCTGTTTTCGTATCTCCCTAATGTATTTAAAATTTAAGGAGACTATATAATGTAATATTAAATTTTTTGCTATTTACGAGAGTCGAACCACAAACCGCCCGTTTCAGGCGTATGATTTACGCATGCACCAACTTGAATATAATTAAATTTAAAATATTAAATATATAAATTAATTAATAGCTGATATTTTTAAAATTTTGTCGTTTATTACCATAACTAGATGACTGGCGGGCTTGAGAAAATTTTCTCAAAATGATTATGAGCATGAACCTGTTGGGAATTTTTTTATATTAGATATTAGGCATAATATTTATATGGGTCTCAGGTAAAAGCTAATTTAAATATATTTTTACTCAAATAGTATTCACTATTAGTCCTAATGAGTTGGTCTTGGTCTGAAGTAGGATTGAGCGGGATTATAATGAATAAAAAATAAATGTGGTTTTTAGAGATTTACCTATCTCCAGGCTTGAGAAAAAAGTTTCAAAATTATTACGCGTTGGCCAGGTTTGAGAAAATTTTTTTAAAATTATTATGGGTGGGGCTGCAGTGTTGTTAAACGCTACTTTTAAAAGTAGCGCGATATCGCTACCGCTATTTTATAAAAAAAATAGCGCGCTACCGCTATCGTTTTCAAATGAGTAGCGCGTTATTGCTAATTTATACGCTATTTTGATTTTTTTTTAAAATATTTTTTACGTAACTTTATTTCCACAAATAAAATATTGGTATAAAAACATGACTATAATTTGTTACATGTATATATAAAATTTATTTATTATTGCACTTTAATAATAATAACATTTCGGTACTGTCATCCCCAAGTTTAGAGCGATGATCAGAAAGTATAAGTTTTGCCATACTAAATAATCGTTCAGCACTAGCACTTGAAGGCAACGCAGTATTAAATGTAATAAACTCATAAAAAAATCATCAAAAATATTTAAATGGTATTTTTAGATTTAAAAAAAGCATCTAGAGGTTCAATATTATTATTATTATTATTTATTTCAAAAAAATCATCTATGGAAGGACGTGGTGTTGATGTTGCTATAATATTAGTATCTTGGTTAGGCATGGCATTTTTTAACGTTACCATCAGCCTATCAAATTGCCCTTTAGATTCAGTCAAATTAATGTATGGCCAATTTAACTTGAGCAGCTTTTACATTATCATCATCATACAGATCTGGAAATCTAATTTATTTAAAGCGATTGTATTTATTATACAAAAAGAAGAATACCTTTTTAATTTTCAAAATTTAAATTTATCTGAGATTTAGATTCATTCATAAAAAAATATTAAAATAGCATTAAATTATGGTAAATAAAGATTTTAAAAATATAATTAAGGTAATTAATAATATATTAATTTTGAATTTTATATTAATACTATATATTAATATTATAGAAAGGATAATCTATATTTTTCTCATTTTCCAAAGAAATTTCGCTATCTTCAACAATCTCACACATTTTTAATAACTAGATTTATAATGCTAACTAGATTTATAATGTATAGTTTTAAATATAAATTTCAAAATTAAATTAAATAAAAGAATTATAATTTTAGATTTAATAAAAAATATATTTTAATAATTTTTAGATGTATTTATTATGTAAAATTAAAATTACCGAAGTAGCGCGCTACTGCGCTACTTTCTAAATTAGTAACGAGCTACCGCTATCGCTATTTTCTAAAAACATAGCCTGCTAAAGCTACCGCTACTGAAAAAAGTAGCGCGCTATTTTAACAACACGGGCTGGGTTTGGAAAATTTTTTATGAATTATATTGGACTGGGGTTAGGGAAAATTTTTCAAAATTATTATCAGCTTGGACGCTTGGGAATTCTATTATCAATTATGGATCAGACATTGACCAAAAACAAATATTTTTGCAGGCCTGGGGACCTGGCCTGAAGGGGGGAGGGGTTATAAAGAATTAAAAGATATTATTTTCAAATAACAGGTAACAACTATCATAAAAGTAGGGAGAAAAAACTAACTAATTACCCCTCAACCCCGTCATTCTTGGCAGGTTATTAGCTAGTATATATATATAGCATATGTATATATATATATATATATTTATATATATATATATATATATATATATATATATATATATATATATATATATATATATATATATATATATATATATATATATATATATATCGAAACTAAAAATGCTACACTTATATTTCATATTCCAAGATTCTACTTCATCATTCAACAATATTATTTTTACTTCCTCTATTTACACTTCAACTCTTCTTTATTTTTTCTATTCAAATATATCCTTTATTAATACATTATCATCAGAAAAGTAGCTAGATCAGCTGTTTAACGGCCATTGTCCCATCATTACAACTTTTGTTAAATACGTGTATTGAAAAAGAAAAGTTATTAATAATTTTAAAAATATTTGAATATAAAATTTGTAAAGATAATTGAAATGTTTAAATTGTAAAGGTAAATTTGAAGGTTTAAATTGTATTCAAATTAAATGACAATTATATGAAATAATTATCGGTCGTATGTAAATTTTAGTAGCATAAATAGTGAGATCGAAAATGTATTAAGGAAGAAAAAGAAAAGAGAAAGTTTTATAATTTTTACATTTATATTTATATTTTTAAGTTTTAATTTAAGTTATTTTAGAATAATTTTGATTGACTATATATTTTAATAAATTAATTTGTCATCTTCAATTCTTGATTTTAATAATTAGTAATTGAATTAAACACCACACCCACGCCATTTATATAACTACCTATTCGGTTATAATAGATTATGTAGCTATATTTTAAATATGGTCTTATAAATTGGTGTTAGTAAACCGCTTCCAATTACTCCAAAAATAGGAGAAGCCAAGTTTTTACCCCAAAACTATTATAATCGCAAACCTTTAGCCGAATTGGTCAATCTTTAAAAAGGTGGGGTAAATTAATCAGCTTTTCAGGTATAAGGAATTTTATTTTGACAAGCAACTGTAGATCGAGTCCGAATTAGCTGATCAGTAGTTTAATATTAAGGCGTATGCCGATAGAAATCCGTTAAACTTCAAAGCTACAAATTATTACCCCCCCCCCCCAGAGTTGATCCATTCCTTAGGACCTAAATTCGCAATATATTATCGATTTAATAAAATATAAAGATTATTAGAATTTTTTTTATGATCGTTTAAAATGTGCCAAACTAAAATATATAATAAATTTAATTTTGTTTTTATTAAATTAAATTAATTATGAAAACCATATGTAAATTTTCAAGAAACAATAAAAAAAATTTAAAAAAAAAAAACTAATCCGATATTTAGAAAAGATTTAGAAATAATTTTTTTTTGAAATATTTTTTATAAAAAAATGAATATCATAATGATACATTCTATGCCCTGGCATTAACCTTTTTCCAATCTAGTGTTGTTAAACGGCTCATTTTGAGTCGATTTTTAAAAACGGCTAACTCGATATTTTATTAGGAAAAATATTATGTAAGCAACTAAATCTCGTGGCTCAAATAATATTTTTCTGGCTAAAAGATCGAGTTAGCCGTTTAATAACACTATTCCAATCAAGCGAGGCGAAGCGATTCACAGACCGAAATTAATAAATCATCTATCACTAACCCTGAATTCGCAGTTAAGGCGAATTCGCGGTGAAGTATACAAAAATGAATGTAGAATTATTATATTTATATCATATTTTGAATAATTAGTCGCGATTTCGTGTTAACGGTTAATACTGGGTAAATTTCGCCTGGGTTATGAATAAATATGGAGAAGAGGGAAAGGAGCGGGAGGTGGGGAATAAAATGCTAGCCTAAATTTAATCCTAGTTCGAGGAAGCAAAAAAAATATATTTTAGTGTGAGCAAAATGTAATTTTTTTTTCATACGGCCTAAAATATATATTTGTTTCATTTATTAAAATTAAAATGACTCTTTATCTTTAGACAAGTTTATACCAAGAGCTCAAGCTGTGTTCCATCTTACCTCTTTTCTTTCCAGATTTCTGGATAGCTAACTAAACGAATTATTATTTTTTGACCAAATAAGAATAAGTGTATACCATTAAGAGTACTTTAGCTTCATGTTATTTCTTTCTTGAACTTTGGGTTCTAACACAACAAGCATATGTCAGGATTTATAAAAAAGTTGGAGGGGGGGGGAGGGATAGCGTTGGACACTTTCACCTTCTATCGAATTGCTCTCAAACTTTAATTACTTAACTTGTATTTAGACCTCTCGCTTAACTCTTTTGACATAACATTTTTAACTGAACTTGGATCCATCACTCCGCTCTTTGACATAGATTCAACGGGATATATATTTTTTAAATATGGTACCGAAAAAAATGGAAACAAATTATTTAAAATTAAAATTTTTATCATCATTTTAAATGATTTAATTATTAAATATAAATAGATTGTATTTGTATATTATTATTATTAAATTTTTATATTATTTTATGTTATTTATTTCTAACCGATTCCCATAAAAGGCTTAAGACCTTCTGTTTTTTGTTTCAAAAAAATAAAAATATTATTAACTATAGTTTTTTTTATATTAATTTTACTATTATTTTTTCTTAAAGAAAAATTTATTTCAGTGAGCAAAGAAAATATAAGAATTTAAAATCAATATTCCTATGCTAAAATTTTTATTTTTTTTTTAAAAAAGAAGAATTTTTTTTTGATGAATATTGTGTTTATATGTTACTTACATGATGTAACCTATCTAATAAGAAATTTTATCATAAACTAGATTTTTATGGTGATTGATATGATTATAGGAATCTCGCTCAAATGGTGGGTTTATTTTTATTTTTAATTTTATTTTTTTGTTATTATAATAAATTAATTCCTTTTATATTTATTTATTTATGGGGAGAAGGGGGAGGTGGAAAATAAGGAAGTGTGGATCATTCTGGCTCTGGCTTATATCCCAAATTATAGTTTTGCACCCAATAAAATAATCAATAAAAAAAAAAATTTGAAAAGATTGGCAGGTGACGAATGTAGGTGGATTTCACGAATAAAAAACAGTTAATATCATGATAAATATTATTTTGTTTTGGCAACGTCTAAAGTTATTATGTAATCAGAATGTATCTGTCCAAAAACTTACGTCAGCTGCTTTAGTCGGAAGGTTAAAAAAAGGGCCATGGTCACCTTGTCAAACGCAGTTTTTCAAGATGACAGCCAAAAATGGCCCCAGAAGTTGACAAGTTAACTTAGGGTTCTAAATTGTATAAGCAAAGGTTAGAAAAATTTTTAGAGTGACACCAATTCCACAAAGGGCAACATTATTGAATGTTATAAAAGTCATAATTTGTATCACACCTTCGTGTATACTAATATATTGATATTGAATAATTTTTTTACGTACAATTTTAGAAAATAAAAATAAATTAGAGTTACCATATAAAATGATGTAAAGAGAAACTACCATTTTATTTCTTTTATTTTTGACATTTGTCCTCTAAATGTCCTGGACAAACTGACCCCGGACAAAGTAACCCCAATAAATAGATATTAGTTTAAAAAAAACATTTATTCAAATTTATAATTAGCGTATTTTGGTTGCCACTGGCTCAGCCCAAATAAATTTCTTGCAGACATTACCCGGCCCAGAGATAGAAGATCTCAAGAAAATATTTTGTAGAAAGAGAAAAGAAAAATTTTTTTACGCACGCAGTATAAAATTACACTTAATATTAATTAATTATAATTATAATCATGAATGTTGCCTTGATCCATTTCACGATTCTCTCTTCCATCATTATTATTCCTGACTTCGAATTGCTTTTCAAATAATGAATGATATATAATTGACTGCTGTTATTTATATCGTTTGATCATTTTAAGAAAAAAAATTTATATAATCTTTAAATTATGATAATCGATATTATACCATAATATTAGATAATATATTTTGTAAAAATAAATATAATATAAATAAATATACTAACAACATAAACACGCTGAAGGGGAATTCAGTGCAACAGAGGCAGAATATCAGATGTTTTAGTTATTAGAAATAAGATATAATATTAAATTTTTATTTATTCAAAATCTTAAATAAATCTAATTCTTAATAGCATAAGTTTCGTTTTAATTTTAAATTTTTTTTAAAAAACAAATTAAATATAAAAAAAAAACAAAAATAAAATAAAATAAAATATAATATAATATAATAAAATGATATTTTTTGTTTTAAACCAAAAATTCATTGAAAATATTTTCAAAATATAATTTATCCTTTTATTCCTTTCAGCAGCAACAGTCATTCTTAATCATATATTCACAACCTTGATCCCAACTTAATTGTAAATTTAAAATATTTTTTTTGTAAAAAAAACAAACTTTTATACGTTTATCTAACAGTAATATATATATATATAATTAATTTTTAGTCCAGGTATAGTATATTTAAAAAATTCAATTATTTTAACCGTAATTTTTTACATATAGTTTTACCTTTTACATTTGTTGTTGCTGTATGTCCTATAGAGAATGATAATTTACCTACGATTTTGTCAACAATTATTTCTATTATATTTCAATGGAGGTGTTTCTTACAAAAAAAAATGCCTAATGTTTTGTCCCGCGATTTGATAGTACGTTAAATCGCATGACATGAGAAAATCATTCTCTAGGTCATAACCTTAAGTTTTTTTGCTTTCAATTTTAGAAAAAATTATTATACTTTTATATGATTAAGAATGAACAAACGGCCTTTAATAAACCAATTTTTATGTGATTTATTAATTTGTCCTTTGTCCTTTTAATCAGTCATTTGTCGTTAAAATTCGTCATTTGAGACATGATGACGAGATTCTTACATCTCTAAATATTTTGTTTTCTCTTTGGTTCAAAATTATTTTTTAAAATTTCAATAATCGTAAAACGAAATTACAAATTAATTATAATCATTTTCGATTTATATATTTTTTTTAAAAAAAAAAAAATTATTTAATAAAAAATATTGTTTTGATTTTGATCATTTCAAATTTCTAATTAGTATAAGAAGTAGCCTTTCTACGAAATTTTTGCATAATTAGATCCCATTATCGAATCCCATCCGATATATCATTCTCTTGTTATACTAATAATACTGATAATAAATATCATTAAATTCCATCAAACCGTAACTCTTGCAATTGATGAACATTTAAGATAATTTTATGTTTTATTTTCACACAAATTTCTAGTTATTTATCAATGTGTTTAATTTTCTTCTTCTAAAAAATTACACAATTATACTCACACAAAAGTCCTCAAGATAATATAATTTATTAATTTTTTCCCTTTTTTATATTTAAAAAAAAGCAATAAACACGAAATTCAATTCACGCGTTTCATAATTTATATTAATTCTAAAATTATAGATATTTGCAAATCGACCCAAATTTTTAGGACAAATAAATGTCTGACAAGAACGATTGGCCGTTAGATACTCACGGCTGGCTCAAATGTGCCATCCCCTTGCCAGCAAACCCCATGAAAGATAATCCCGAGAAATATCTACGTGTCAGCGATGCTTGGAGGTTGCATCATAGTTCTATGATTTTGGATAATAAAAAGATTTGTTGGGTTCCGAAAAAGGGCAAAGCTTTTGTTTGCGCCGATATTATCAGCACCAAGGGCGATCAAATCACGGTTAAAGCTGACGGAGAGGTTAGATTTTTCCATTTTACTTATTTTTTCTAAGATTCAATATATATCATTATTACATTGTGGGTGTCTTAAAACCACCTCCCCCAAAAACCATTAGTTGTACTTTAAAAAAAAAGAAGTATACTCTCATTCGATATTATTTCTATTAAAGAGTTTTAAAAATTGTAAATTCTGATTTTACTATCTAAAATGGGAATGGTTAAGCACTTTAAAAAGTCTCGATTATCATCTGCTAATACCAGTGGCGTCTGCTAGCTCTACATTTTCTAGTACTTTAAAACATCTTCTTTTTTTTAAAAAAAATTGTTTAAAATAAAATGAAAATGAAATATTTTAAATAATTTATGTTTCACTAAAATAATTACTTATCTTTAATGGGGGGTTTTTTTTTATTTTGAATTTCATTTTAAAATATTTAATTTGTTTAGTATTTATATAAAATTTTAAGGGTTGTTAATGTCATTGATTTTGTAACCTCAAAATAGGTGTTAAAATCTTATTTTTTTTAAATAAAAATTTCTTTGGCAATTGCTCACCAAAATTTTTTCTCCCACTTGACGCCATTGGCAAATAATCTTACTTATTGTATAATAGTATTCTGGACAATGGGCATTTCGACGTTTGATTATTATAATAAGCTAAACTCTCTTGGCCAATCAAAAATGATTTAGGGGTAAAATGTCAGAATTTTATTTCAGGCTCAGACTTGCCCCATTTATTAACGAATGAATCGTTTACAATTCGTATTTATTGGATTTGCCTACATGTATAATAATAAAATTTAGTTTTTATAAATCAGACGGCGTTTTTCCTTTTCAATAAATAGAAGGACTATAGAGTATATATAATAAATAATATGATGGCGGCAATATGTTTTTTCATGCAATGTGGTATTTATTCAATGAGCGCGAAATTTAAAAATCTGGCTGAAATGTATTCCACCAATCAGACAATTTTGTCATTAACTTTTGAGCTTAATGTAATTTATATCAGTTTTTCCATAGATCTTTTTTACAAAAATTATAAATGACTCAATTAATAGCTAAATTATCTACAATTCATAATATTCTAAACATGCTGGAATACATTTCCGGTAAAATCAGATGTTTAAATTTTAAAAAACGCGCTTCAAAAAATGATTTAAAATTGAAAAAATAGTAAAACTATAAAAAAAAAAAATTTTTTTTAAAGGTTGGTGGCGCAAAATGAAAATTTAATTGGCATTTTTACCAAACATGTAATTGTATGCAATTTTATAAATAAATCTTATTTATATACAGAATGGCATCGTGTCATTTTTTTTTATGCTCAGGGACTTCTACCATGGGGGCTATTACACAAGATCATCATCGAAATTGAAGGGTGGGGGGGGGATAGGGGTTGTAGAATAGTGTTGTTAAACGGCTCGATTTTGCAAATTTTTAGGATTTTAGCAATAAATTATGCAAGCCCCAAAATTTGATTAGTGAATGACCCTAACCCTAACCCTTAAAAGTAGGGGAGAGTGGGGTTAAGTCGAACCATTTTTGCAAAATCGGTTATTGCTCATATATTTTTTCTAGATATTATAATAAACAATATATTAATAGATACCTAAAACTATAAAGGTGCCTTATAAAAAAATTTAAGAATATAATCATATTTTTGAAATTCTATTCTATTTTTTGTAAAAGTGGAAATTTTGTCCAACAAGTCCTAATAACGGGGTTAGGCAAATCACTTCAAGGAGCTTCCTATACCATTGCCTCTTTTTTAGGCTATAATGAATTGAAATGCATTTTTATTTATTAATAATGATACGTATAGAATAATTTTATTGTTTTATTGATCAAAATATCATAATACTTTATAAAAATTGAAACTTTATTATGGTGAATTTAGTAAATATTTTAGACATATAAAAATTTGTCGAATTTTGAATATATACTATGTGCCCATTCTTGGCACATTCTGCATTGGTACCACTCTTCATCGTTATGATGTTTTATAAAATCCAGCTCACAACAAAGACATATATCTTGTGAATAGTTTTTTTTCATTATTTTTTTATTGGAAATATTTTACTTTCCTGATATCTCTTGTAATATCTCATAAAGTTTGATCTAGGAATACCTAAAATAAACATGCCAGATTAAATATTAGATTATATTTATTATAACTTAAATACACTAATACAATAATATTATATTTCATCATAATTTTAATCCATAATAAAATATAAGAACATGAAATTTATTACGTTTAAAAATAATGTAATAAATAATATTTTAATCTCTTTACAATTACAATTTAGATTTTAATTTACATAATCTCTATTATCATATTTTAATATTTGATTATATTGTTTAATACATAAAATTATTGATTATACCTTAAAAATAAGACAGATAATGTAGATAAATTTACCTGTAAGTTGGCTAGTGATCTGTTGATTTACAATCTTCATATAACTTATTACTTTATAATTAATTCATCAAATTTTAGTATATTACTAAATAATTATTAATATTAAATTATTGACCTTTTTTAATTTTATTGGATTTGTATTCTCGCACCATATCGAATAATGTATTAATTACTAAAAAAAAAAAATTCAAATGGGATTTACGTGTATGGTTTAGCAAGCCCCGCTAGCTCTAAATTTACTAATTATGATTAAAATAATATCTAGAAGACATAATAAATAATAGTTTCAAAATAAACAACAAATCAAGAATTGTTAAACTTTCTCAAATCATAAAAGAATGTTAAAACTTTTCTATAAAATTTAAATTTTATCATTATTATATTTTTAATAAAAATTATAATTCTGTCTTGTAAAAATAATTAATTATTTCAAAAGATTTTTTTATTGATAGATGTATACTAATAAAGGCTATATTAGGATTGAATTTTAACCTTCTAGTGCATATAATTTTAAAATGTGATTAAATGATTTGCCAAGCCCCGGGGTCTACTTAATTCCAGTCTCCCCTATGCACTTTGTTTCCCAAGCAGACCAAATCTAGTAAAAATAATATTACCAATAATTTAAAAATTTTAATTAATTATTCTCATCGTTTTTTAAAAAAAAAATTATAGAGATATTATATAATTTAATGAATAAATATTCATGTTACATAAAGCAAAAAAAAGCGAATTTTTTGAAGGCTCTTTTTTCAATATATTATTGAGAAAACATTTGTTCTCTAATTAATAAGAAAAATAAATTTTAAAGAAGAAATTAAAAAAATTAGAAACATTTAAAAACCCTCTTATAAATGTCATTATGTCAGTTATTGCATGGGTAATGAATATCGTAAATGTTAAAAAAAGAGCGAAATATCAATTAAAAAAATTAGCCTAGGGACCCTAGCGATTAAAATTTGGCGATTTTGTTCGCAAAAGTTGTCCAAAACAAACCCCATTTTCGTACGAAAATACATATGTTGAATTGCTTGCTAGGGCATATCCTTATACCCTTATGTGGTAGTAAAGGATTTGATAAATTTATCTAGAGATAAATTATCTTATATTTAAAAAAAAATCCTGACTTTCAATTTGGTAAGTGAGATCGGGGCACGTTGGCCCCATTTTTTTGTTTTAAGCTAAATTGAATAAATAAAACATGCACTGAATTCTCTAAATCAAGGCTATTTAAAATAGTTAGTGATTATATGTATTCAATCTTCTTTTCTCCCCCTTATAGCTTTTCCTTGTTCTTTACTGAGAAATTTAACGGAAGAATAAACAATCCTTATCTCAACCCCCATAATTTGTATTTTTTAAACTACCATTAAAATTACAAATGGGTAATAGTCACCCTTATTAAACTATTACCTTTTTGTAAAATCTAATTTCAAAGTTTTTTTTGTTTTACCAACATTTCCTAACACTAGTATTTGTATATAATATATGTATATCTCTCCACCATTTAGGGTGCTGGGTACTCTAGTTCTTCTTAGATTAGAGACAGCTGTTCTAGTAGATTTTGATGATCTCTTCTTCTTATTTACCTTGGTTATTAAGGTACGTTGGTTCAACGCGTGTTTAGAGTTCCCATAAAATGAGGGTGTAAATATATAATTTAAATAAAAATGCAAATAAGGCTATATAGAGTAGGACTTCTATAACATACAATTAAATAAAGAAATACTTTAAAAGTTGGTGATTTTGATCACAAGCACTAAAATTTAAATAAAAACTTTAAAGATTTTTCATAAAGGCAAAAATTTTGGGATAACTTTCCCACTTTGTTATAGTTCCCCATAAAACGCAATGTGTAAATGAAAAAATAAAGTAAAATAATTGTGAACTAATGTTTCTAGGACCATCCATGACCGCGACCTCTAACTTTATAAAGGCTACTGATAATAATATGTTTCATAACTTTTAAAATTTCTTAGACTATAAGGTAGAGTATAAAAAAAAATAAATTATTGATATTTTTATAAAGTTTATTTATATGCATAATGAAAAGGCTTGCAATTATTATTTTTTAATTACTTTTGGTAGGCAAATTTTTTTTAGCCAATGGTGTATGACATATTAAATTTATACTCTTATACCCTGATGGCTTAGAATGGACTTTTCGCCCCTGTACCCATAAACCCCTTTACCAATATGCTGATCTCTCTTGTCCAATCCTCTTTTGAAAATATTATTCCAAATAATAAAGGTAATAATTTAAATGCCTTGTATTATAAAAATGAGTAAAATAATTTTTTAATCAATTAGTTAAAATATTCATATTTTTCAACAGTCAATTCCGATTTCCTAAGAAAAGACTAAATTTAATTAGAATAGATACCATATTTTTTTATGATAGGATTCCATTATGCGGGAGCGCTTAAAGGGAAAGAATAATAAATCACTATAATAACACAGTAGGGATAAATAAATTAAAACTCTACATCAATCATTGGATTATCCCGGCGCAAAAAGATGACTGGCCCAATTTCCATGAGAATTTAGGATATTTTATAGAAAACATTATTTAGGTTGATAAATTATATTTAGACAGGTTAGGTCATTGGACAGGATCTAACGATGAGATTTTTTATTATAAAGTCAGTCGCATAGGATCTCTTATATTTGCAATACTCATATTTTATGAGATTAATTTCTATAAAAAGTTTCAAGTAATTCCCACCCCACCATCGTCTTTTTGAAACTTTCGTGAGACGCTTGCAAATTTTTTTTTTTTATCTCTCTATCCTTCATAATTTTTTAAATGAATTTTTACTTGAAATACCTATATACATGTTTTGCTGTCACAATTATATACAGGGTTGAAATGCCTAGTATATAAAATGCATGGGCAATATTTTCTTTAGTATTAGCTGTTCCGAATTCTCACGCCTAACTTTGGCTATTTCGAATATGATTAAAATATTCCAATTCTTACTAAGAAATTTTCGTGTTGCAGTATTCCAATGTCTTAAAAAACACATCTGAATTACAATAATATCGTTTTTTTGATACAAATTAATGTAATCTTATTAAATGAAATAATGAAAAGGGTTGTGCTTAATATACTTTACTTGTCCACTTGGTAGATGATGCTGGAATGGAAAGCTTTTATTTATCTTTTTTGAGTTTTAGAGGTACCATAAATTGCCTGCTTTTCGCTGAATGAATTTGCTGACAAATCAACCCACCTGACTTATATACTCTTTCCTACAAAATTTTGCCGTTTAGGGGTTTGCAAATAATATGTTATATTTTTCAAAAAGGCCTGATAGCTCAGAGACGACTCAGCATGTATGAAGTTCGAACCCATGGTCAATATTTTTTTTAGTAAGTCAATTTTTAAAGATGTTATTAAACTTGGGAATTCCCACTTACATCAAATCAAACAGAAACATATGGCTACTAAAAGTTCTAGTGGTATTAATTAGATCTCCCGGAGGCGGCGAGACTGCGCGTCTAATGTCAAATTAAAAAATTGGAAAAATCTAACCCGATCTTCCTGATTCCAGAGATTGTCTAACTAAAACAGAGATATAGGTTAGTAAATTGTTATCGATACTCCTATTGTTGACCCTTTTATTTTTAATCCTAACCTAGCTATAACCTATTCTAAGATGTTAATTTAGAAAAAAAATTGGTTCCGACAAGAATCGATTATTTTTCATAGTTTACCCTCTGAGCCACAGCTGCCACCATTAAAAGAATGATAATTTATTTATTTATTTATATATATATCCACCGCCTGAGAATTAAATTGTTTCATCTCTATTTTTTTTTGTAATTTTGCAGGAGAGCAAAAAATTATTAAGTTTTTTATTTTAAATTGTAACTTTTATATTGGCTAAAATTGAGCCCCCCTGAGATTGTAAAGGTTAATGACGCCCCTCATATGGAACAATTTAATTTTCTGGCGACGATATGCTAGTTATACACACACACACTTCAATCTAGCTAACATACGAACACAAACTAATAAAATAACTAGCTAAAGGTACAAACTATCTCTCAATTTGTTTTATGAATTTTATTTTCATATTTTTGGATTTTTTTAATGAAAATCAAGTTGATTTATCTTGCAGTTAATGTATATTCAACCTATTTATAAAATAATAACGTTGATTTTTCTCATTTGTTGTCTACCTTTTAATTCTTTCAACCTACTTTTCATTTCTTATTTACTTATATTTTTTCCCTTTTTTTAACCAGAAATATAATCCAGCTGGTCAAGAGTATACTACATTAGGAATTTCAGGCAATTTTGCCATAAATTGATTTCGAGCAGCATCTGTCGCCTAATCGGTTAGTGCATATATCATTTACCATATAGATCTTAGTTTGAATCCAGTAAAGACCTGGTTTTTTTTTCCAAAGACAACTAGATATTTCAGTGCTATTGAGGTATGATATATAGAATATCGGAAGCGCACTAATGGGTCTTTTAATCATATAAATTTAGTCGTTGGCAAATTTTTATAATGGCCAACACTATATAACATTACCCAAAATTCACAAGTTGAGAAGTACTCAAATGCTAAATCAAAGCAAAATGAAAAAGAAATTTTAAAAATTACCTCCTACCCCCCCCCCCCCTTCCCCACTCTACAAATGACGATAGCGCCTTTATAACTACCTCCCTCCAAATTCAATGACGTTTTCCTTGACTAAGTCAGTGAAGTGTTCTTGCGATTAAGCGTACAAGCAATTTTATGTCCTAATTGGAATAGTTAAGCACCAAGATGCTTGCTGTAGGGAAATATAAATATTTTGATCTATATCTTGTAACGATTGATTTTGAAATTACCTTTATTATGTTCATTGTTAATGCTCAATAATTTATATATTATCTTACACTCAATTGCAACGCTTGTAAGATGATCAATTTTAACATTGAAACGCCCAATTTCTAATGCACTCTTTAGTTAGGATGCAGCATAACTTGCATGGCGATGTTTACAGCGCTAACTGTGAATGCAGGTTTACACTTAAATGCAATTCAGATTTTACAGTATTACACTTTTTTTTAAATTTTTACGCCAGAAAATTTTATTTTTATTGTTTTAAAATTGGCTAAATTTTTTAAAATTATTATATAGGAAATGACTATAAATAAAGATCAAGCAGAACAAGTTAACCCAGGAAAATTCGAAAAATGTGATGATATGTCCTGTTTAACCTTTTTGAACGACGCCAGTGTCTTGCATAATTTACAACAACGATATTTCATTTGGATTATTTACGTAAAATTAATCGCGCATAACATTTAACCAATATAATTGTAAATACAAATTTGTATCTTAAATATAGACTTATTCTGGATTGTTTTGCGTGGCTATTAATCCCTACAAAAGACTACCTATATATACCCCAGAAGTCGTGCAGATGTTCAAAGGTAAGAGAAAGTCCGAGGTACCTCCTCACGTTTTCTCCATTTCGGATGACGCCTATACCAATATGTTATCAAGTATGATTAATTTTTCGTAGATTTCTTTAAACTATATAATTTACTCTTGAATTTGAACCATCAATAGAATATATCAGAGACCAGCAGAAGTATCATCTGCATGGCCCGGCCAGTGTATATTTAATAAAGTTACACGGGTCAGGTCGAGCCGGGCTTAGGACAGGGCCTGCAGGTCTCGGGAATATATAATCATAATAAATTTATATTAATATCTATTTTTAAAAAAAACATTCTCATAATACAGACAGAGAAAATCAATCTATATTGATCACGTAAGTTCAATTTTCAATTAAAAAATTATAAAAAATTAACATCTTAAATTTAAAAATAATACTAAGCCATATTCAAAAACGAATATATTCAACGAATTTCTAAATTTACTATTCTTAATTATATAATCGAATAACCCTGCATTCACATTTACATGAATTAGCGGTGAAGTATAGAAAATATGTTGTATTTTTATGCACTTCGCCGCGAATTCGCGCTAACTATTAATGAAGGGTAAGGGTATAAAGGATAGTGAGACTTGTATTTATTTTTGAAAAGACATAAATTTCTTTAATATATCTATATTAACTTTTCGTAAAAATCACAACATTATTATTATTTAATTTTTTGAAATAGTGGAGAAAGTGGAGCAGGTAAAACGGAAAACACAAAAAAGGTTATCCAGTATTTTGCCATAGTAGCTGCTAATAAGCATATAACCGACCCCGGTGTGTCCCATTTTACCGCCGTAAGTGTTATAAATGTTGTCTTCTTATTATGTGTATGTTTGTCTTTCTATATATGTTTGTCTCTAACTAGTTTTAGTAAACGGCTCGTTTTGAGCCGATTTTTAAAAACAGCTAACTTAATATTTTATCTAGAAAAATATTATGCAAGCCTTATCAAGATTTGAATCATATAACATAAAGGTTTGAGCATCTATTAACAAAATATCGAGGCTTTGTCAATATTCATCTGGCTAAAATATTGAGGTAGCATTTTTTAAAAATCGACTCAAATCCAGCAATTTAACAACACTAAAGGTCCTTCATTTTACCAAGTGTCAAAATTAATTTAAACCGAGAACAAACTTTTTAATTAAAGGATATATTTTAATAAAATTGGTGCATGCCATGATTCCCTTTGTAGATTTTGTTATTTTGTACATGATAGAATGAATAAATACTGTATTACTTTAGTTTTTCTATATTAGCCTAAAGGCTTGACCTATTTACAACATTAGTAAATAATTTGTCTTCAGTCTTAATTAAATTATGTAATATCAGCTTTACAGAAAATAGATATCAACCAATGACATTGATACTAGCCTCTAATGAGATTCATTCTTTATAAAAATTCTCAAAGTATACATACATTGAAAAAGTACGTATATTTGAAATCCTAAACTTCAAGCATTATGACTTCAATGGATGTATATATGTATTAACTTCAATGTGTTTTTTTCAACTAAATCTTTTTTTAAGTACAGTTTTTTTGTAATATAAAAAATAAATTTGCTGGAAATATATTCTAATCAGATTGTGCAAAATAAGTCTTATTCTATGATTTTTAGAAGATTTTGCCCAGAAATTTTTGAACTTAGTAAAATTTATTATTCGTTTTTCTATAAATTTTTTTATAACAAATTATAAATGGCCAAAATGTTATCCGCAAAATTTTCTGAAATTTATTAAGGTATGTATTCTAAATATGCTGAAATACATTTCCCGCACAGATTTTTAAAATTTGAAAAAAAAACGCATGCATATTTTCGAAAATTATTATCGCTGTGAAGAGTTAGCGGTGGTTTCGATAGAGCCAAATACCGTACCGCTTAACAAATCACATTTACTATAGATGAGGCGTTAGACTGAAAAAAAACACATTGAATCTAACTTCATACACTTTAAAAAAAATGGATCTTTAGTCTAGGCTAGAATTAATCTCATTGCTCATAAAATAGGTCATTTGTCTTATTATATCATATGTCCGTCTTACACAATTATTTATACAAATATATGTTTGACTCTAATGCTGTCTTTTATAAATGTTTATTTTTGTTATACCCAATGTTCGCAAAAACTGCGCAGTTTGTAAAATTATATATTAAATATGTTAATAGTTAAATATATGTTCACAATGCCGTCTTCAAAAGTATATTTAATATGCAAATTAGGACCGTGTAAAATTATAACCAATTTAGTATGTGTTTATTTTGTTGTTTTACATGTTTATAATTACGATAATGTTGTCTATGTAATACTTAAAATGGCATAAAAGAAGAAATGAATTTTGGCTTATAAAATGAATGTTATTTATTTTGACTCAGAACGCTAATTTTCAAGAAAATTTATTTTGTAAACAACTTCGAAAAAAGGGTATGAAAATAGTTTATATATTTGTAGGTAAATATAATGATCATAAAAAGAAACTAATTCCATGCTTGTATATGTATAATTTGTCCCTCTTATTATATGTTTGAATCTTACGTAGAGGCGAATCTGGTGCCGGCAAAACAGAAAATACCAAAAAGGTCATTCAATATTTTGCGATCACTGCTGCATCTACAGCCACCAATACTGGAATCACATATGGAGCTGTAAGTCCTCCACTTAAAACTTGTTAAAAAATTGAGTCTTTGTATATATTCATTTTTTTTTACATGTAGAGATTTACATCAATGAAATTCATCTTCCGATCGCGTTCATTTAAAAAAAATTTTTTTTTATTTGTATTCATATCGTAAATATTTTAGTTATAATGCAAAATTGAACATTTGTTGAATATTATGTTATGTTATTTTCGTCTACATTCGCGACATATTCCCTTAGTCAATACTCCGAGCAGAAATGTAATGTGAATCTTGAAGGCTCCCTCAAAAAAAGCAAAAAATTCAATGTATCCCCTCCCCAAAATACGAGGCCTTATAGGCACCCTTGTTATCTGTTAAAAATTCCTCGTCAAATGATATAAAAGAATCTAATAAATAATTAAAGGATAATCGAAATGATTTTATAATTTCAACCTTTCTTTTTTGAAAAAAGGGGTTATTTATTATTACATCATTAAAATGTTATTTCACCATTTATATTTTAATAGTGGAGAGTCAGGTGCCGGTAAGACAGAAAACACCAAAAAAGTCTTAACTTATTACGCTATAATAGGCATGAATCCAGTCAAAGAGGGTGAAGTGCAAGTTTCAAATTTTTTATAATTTATCTATAAAGCATCTTATATATAATCTGTGCTATCTATACTTGCTGTTTACTCAATTTCTTCAAATATTTTTTCGAATCTTGCACAGATTGTTAAATAAAATGGATATTCTTGAGATGTGTATGTTTATATGTCAATGAAAATGCCGATAGATGCTAACATATATTATTTGTAATGTTTTAATCATCAAGTGCTTACGTCAACAAATATTACCCATTAAAATTATACTTATAATTTGAATAAAACTAAGCAAATTCATAATTCTTTAACCGCATCGAATTATTTTTCAATAAGCCCCCCACCACCCCCCAACACATAAAATTTCGAAGTTTAACGATAAAAACAATTATTTTAAATTATAAATTTATTTTAAATCAACTTAACCTAAAAATATTTAATGTCTTACATTTCATAAAAGTTAGTCCTTAATCGCAAGACTGTCTCTCAACTCATTTATTAAATAAATTATAACCCTTTAATTTTATGATACATTTTTTTTCATTATTCATATTACATCTAAAATAAATTTAAATCTAGTTTTATATTTGGTGTGAGGGAGGAGACGCTAATCATGGTAAATTATAACAACAAAAGAATAAATATTGATATGAATATAAATAGAGACACAGATTCCTATTATTAATTAATTAATCAACTAAAAGTGAAGAAAACTACACATATCCTACCCTTGGCCGTGGTAATACACAGAAACATGTGTAGAAAAACAAGCTACCCTTAAGGGAGATATATTATTTGACCTTTTGTCGCGGATTATGCAAGATGTAAGATTTACTGGGTATCTTAGGCAAGTTAATTTCAAGATCAGACTCTTTAAACACGAATTCATTAACTATAGTTGCTTTATTTTTGTAAAGATGAAATCAAATTAGGTCAGTGAGCTAGCATTCATATACATTGAAGAATCAGCGATTGGGAAGACATGTTATTTTTTAATGATGGTTTTTCAAGATTACTTTTTTAAAAAGATTTTTGCTTAGGTTTTAATTAAACTTTGTTTAAAAGAATTAACCAGAGACGGCACCCCATAATTTTCGAAAAATACTATTTAAAAAAATGGCCAGATGATGATAACATTAGGCCTAGCCTATCTCCAGTCCTGATTTTAATCCTATTGGAAATATATATTATATTACCTAGTGGCGACATACGAACCATCTCATATTCTAAACCCGATTAATTTTTAATACTTTTTTTTTACAATTTTAAGAAAGATCGATGTTAAATAATATATCTTAATTTTTACTAGAGATGATGGCAGAAAGCGCCCCTCTAAAATTTAAAAAAAATAAATATTTAAAATGTTAAAAAATATATCAGATAAACGTGTATAATTGTAATTTACTTAATCATGGTTAATTCTATGCTCAAAATTTGAAACAAAATAAATGTCCAACGAATTTTTTTTATATAATGAAAGTATTATAATACGATTAGATTTTATAATAATATGCTATATAATTTTGGTATACATTTTATAAACGATTTACAAATTTATTAAATTCCATGAAATATGATATTAATGATTTGTAATTTATTGATATGAGTTCTGGTGCATTTTTATAAATATTTACCTTAAATTAAAATTTATATCAACTATATACACCGTCCACACACACGCATAAATAAACAAATATTGTAAATCACCAATTCATTGCATTTCCATCCAAAATCCATTAAACCATGTTTACAGTATAAGTGTAATACTTAAATAGTATACATATAATAATGCTCGAAAAATATTGTGCCAAATGTGTTTAAAAAATAATGTGCGTATATCAAATAAATCTTTACAGGGAACCTTAGAAGATCAAGTTATCCAAGCCAATCCAGTTTTGGAAGCGTTTGGAAACGCTAAGACCATAAGAAACGACAACTCTTCGCGTTTCGTAAGCGAATATAATTATTTTTTAGGATAATAAATGTTGAAATAATATGTTGTCATTAGAAATCAAGTGTTTGTCTAATTTGTCGTAGTTTTTATTCATTCTTATTTAAAACCAGATTGTAGCAATCATGCAGATTAGAAAATGGGCTTATTCTAATTCCATAGAAAACCATCGATTCAAAATCATATAATTGTTGTATAATTGGCAAAATCTAAAATGTTGTATACAGGCAATTTAATGTTGAAACTTATAAATTAAATGCTTAATTAATGTCCTCTCTACCATTTCTGTTTCTGTCAAATCTAACCTGTACATATTGTTTGTTAGAAACCTCGATTTCGCCCATTTTTAAAAGCTATCAATCAAGATTTGAGCTATAAAAAAATTTAAGGAATCTCGAGGTTTAGGTGATATTTATTTGCTAAAATTTTGATTTAGCTGCTTTTTAAAAAAATGGGTAAAATCTAGGTTTTAGACAACACTAGTTATGTACATATAGTATCAAATCAAGATTCTATGTTTTTTTTCTTCATGTAAACAATTTCGTGTTTTAAAGAGGGCTCACTCAAGTTCGTGTTTTTTTGGATCGATATATCTGATACATTCCTTGAAAGCAAGGACTCTTATGTATTTTTATATATATCTTGTCGATAAATGAATAGTATTATGTTGATTTTTTATATAAATTTATTCCAATGTTGTGATGTTCTTAAATGCCGTGCAAATAGAATCTACTCGCATCTACTCTACACTCCTACTCTATGCTACTCATTGGATTTGATTAAATACTTTATTCAATTTTTTTTCCTTTTTTCTGTCTCCTATTTGTGGACTTAAAACTTAGAAAGCTTCTTTGGAAGATCAGATTATTCAAGCTAATCCAGTGTTGGAAGCATTTGGTAACGCTAAAACTATTCGTAATGATAACTCTTCGAGATTTGTAAGTGGAATTTACCTGTTTACTATATAATCCTGACAATCGGTGATATCTTTTATTCTTTGTTGGTTTTAATATATATATTAGCCCCAAAATCGACGATACATTTAAATTACTTAATATATTAATTTCAATGATTTATAATATATATACTTATATTTTTAGGGGAAATTTATCAGAATTCATTTTGGAGCTTCCGGAAAATTAGCTGGTGCTGATATAGAATCATGTAAGCTGATTCTTTTTTTAAAAAAAAACAGATATATCCTATATTTTTGCAGGCTTATTGCCATTTATATAACTCTCTTTTAAAATTTGTTTAATAATATTAAAGATCTATTGGAAAAATCCCGTGTCATATTTCAACAGGCCGCTGAGAGATCATATCATATCTTCTATCAAATCATGTCAGGAGCGATCTCTGGATTAAAAGGTGGTTTTTTTTTGCTAAATTTCGATTTCCATTCGAAATCCCCAAAAACATAAAAAAAAATTGGGAATTTAACTTATATTCCCTATAAATTAATATTGATAGATGCTAGGGGGGGGGGAGTAAGAACTTTGAGTTTTTTTAAAATAATTTTTCTATGATTTCTACACTTACTTTAAAAAAAAACCTCAATTTAAATACGAGTGTTTACTTCCCTAGCATCTATTGATATTATTTTCAATATTACTTTAAAAATTTTTCCAGGAAATATAAGCGAGAGATTTACAATTTTTTTTTATTTTAGAATCGAATCCCGAATTTTTTATATGAGGATTCCATAAGAGTGAACTCTATGGGTCCTTTTTTTTGGACGAAAGCAATTTTAATATATGATTTTTATTGATGTCTCACATTATTTTAAATGAAAATGTAAATATTTATAAAGAACAACTTTTCCTTTCCGATAATCCAAAGGACTACGCATTCTCATCTCAGGGTAAAACTTCGATTGAGGGAGTCGACGACAAAGAAGAAATGAAATTAACAGATGTATATATAAATAAAACAAATAGAAAGATAAAATTATTATCTTTAATATAAAATTAAAAGTGTATTTTATTCAACATTAGATCCGGGTGGTCCAGACCAGGGGTCCTTCGGGTTACAATAAGATAAATTTTGGTTACAGATATTTTAAATATATCGTGTCTTCCATAACAAGATAGCATCATCAATAAAGGTATCTTATCTCTAAATCACCACTTTTGGTGGGTAAGGAAGCTTAACAGTTACCTTTAATAAATGTTAAGAGGGATAAGAAATTTAAAAATAGGAGTTGAACGGAGAGGATAAAGGATGCGTAGAATGTTTAAAAAGTTTTTTAGGAGGAAGAATGATTTATGTGAGGGTAATAAGTAAAGAAGGTTACCAATCTTAAGGAGGATATCAAAAGTAGAGTGGAGGAAGGCAGATTGAGTGAATCCAACCGCTTACAGGGGATTCTAGATGTGTTAACTCCTTGTAATTTGAGATTTTGATCATGAGACTAACGGCACATACCATTTTTTTGATAATGTCCGACCTTATTGATTTCCAATTGAGATCTACTATTGATTCTATCGTCTATGTACTAGACGTGCAGTGGGAATTTTGAATTAATGGCTTGAATTATTTTATTGATTCCGCGACTATATATAAGGGATTCTAGTTGATTACCTTGTTGGGTGCCTTCCTGAGAGTTGAATTCCAAAATTGAAGAAAATTGGTAAGAAGAATATAGGAATTTGGGGTAGCATTGGAATGATATGCGCTCTGATTGCAAGTGAGTTATGGGAGAGGATGCTTTAGGCATTAGCAAATTCAATTTTTAGTATTGCTCTTCAAGTAAAGGCATGAGATGTACAGTCGCCTCACATCCTCCATAAACTCTACCCCTTAATTATAAAGGGGTTAAAAAGTGAGCGGCCTCATATTTAATCTGGATGTAAAACTTTTGTGACATGACAGCGGAATGTTGAACAAATGGTTATTGGTTTGATATCTTTGTTAGGCTTCTGTAAAGATAGGTCTGCCTCCACAAACTATATTGAGTGATTGGTGTTAGTGGAAGAAAGATATTTTGGAAGGAGTTTTATTTTGGTCTCCTCAGAGTGTGGTGAGCTAATGAATCATAATTAGAGACTAATTTCAATTTTATTGAAATATGCATAGCTTGACGAGAACGTTTTTTTGTTATAAAGATCAGGAGAAACGTTGCAGGAAATTCTTGAGGATTTGGTAGGTCGCCTGATAACCAAAGAAATATGAATTTAAACCATTCCGTCACGTTAAAGTTTTACGGTAAAGAGGAGATACTATCAGAGAGAGAGAGAGACTTGGAGACTTGTATCCTAGCGCCTTTGGGAATTATTGATATGATGTCAAGTTTTTTGATGTTGAGAAAAGTCTGAATGATATTAGAAGCATGAATTGAAGGGAGTTCTGTAAATGGGCTGGGAAGCGGTATGCTTCTGAAAGAGAGGCGAAAGTCTTGATTGATGGTACCTGTTAATGATTGGTTCATGAACATAAAATACACCATCATTTGTTAAATGTATAATATCTTGGCTCGATCGTGAATAAAGCAAAAGCTAATGCGTAATATTACTGATGTATAAAGCAAATAATTGAGTAAATGGCGCTAGTAAATATTTAAAAAAAAATGAATCAATGTGCTAATTGAGTATATCTAAAACTAAAGCTAAATATATCCAGAAGCGAAGAAAAAAATTAATGAATAACGAACGCGAAATTAATCAAATACGACACAGATTAAACGACGGAAATAGAGTCATGTTATGGGTCTGAAAAAATAAAAGCTTGATTGAGGCTTAGTACAACCGAATTAGGATTCGCAAGTATGCCTGATATGGCTGATTGTGGTTATAAAAAATAATAAGATGACGAAATATAATGATTAAAACTGAGAAAATATATCCAAAATACGAATGAATTGAAATGAGGAAAAAAGATCAATAATAAATATAAATGAATAATATATCCGATAAAGCGCGAATGAATTAACGCGAAATTTAAATATTATTGCCCTAAACTATTAACGTTAAAAATAGTTTGAACCATTTTTTTTACAAAAAAAAACAGGAAGCATTTAACATTTTGGGCTTTGAGCCGCAAGAAAAATTGAACATTTATAAACTCACTGGAGCTATAATGCATATGGGAAACATGAAATTCAAACAAAGACCCAGAGAAGAACAAGCTGAGACTGATGGAACAGATCGTATGAAACTTTAATTATTTTTTTTTTTGAAAAATCATATTATAATTATCATAGGATTGATGATTATTTTTAAGGATTTATATAAAAATAATAACGCACTTTTTAACTCGTTCCAGGTTTTTAAGTCTTCGCTTTTTGACTCACTTAATATTTATTGAGAATTATATTTCATATAAAATTTTAAAAAAAATCTCCAATATAAATTTGTATCAAAAATATTTTTACTTTTGAAATGCTAATTTCTAATACAACTTTACAAATTAGATTTATAAAATTAAAATTCGATTCAAGATTAATTTTACAAAAATTTCAGCAATAAAAAAAACAGCATGTTCGTTTAACTCTCTATAGAAATTTACATTGTAATTAAAATTTTGGTTATTAATTAACTCCATCCTTAACACTATTTTTCATTGGGAGAGTGAATTAATATAGTGCTATCTTAACTCAAGAGGTATATAATAAGGGGATTTAATGCTTCATGATTTAATGCTTCATATTACAGTTACTTCGATTATAAAGTTAAATTAACTAACTAATTATAATTTTTATACCACAACATTATCATCTGTATTAAATGACCATTCCTTTTTTTCATATTAATAATGATAGCCGGAGAAAAGGCCGCCAAATTAATGGGCATCAATGATGCAGAATTCTTTAAAAATATCCTGAAACCTAGAATCAAAGTCGGAAGCGAATACGTAGCTAAGGGCCAAAATCTACAACAGGTATCCTTATTATATTAGTAAATCAAGCTTATTGTAAATCTGATAATTCTTTTAGGTCACTTACGCTATCGGATCATTATCGAAGGCAACTTACGACAGAATGTTTAAATGGTTGGTAGCTAGAGTCAACAAAACGCTGGACACCAAAGCCAAACGTCAATTCTTTATAGGAGTCTTGGATATAGCCGGTTTCGAAATTTTTGAAGTTAGTTCTAACAATTTACACGATTATAGACAGAGTTGGGCAGGTCCAAAAGAATCTAGATATATATTCTTTATGAAAAATCGATCTTAGATATAGATAGTAGTATCTTATTAAAAATATCAAAAAGATATTGAGTAGAAGATACAAAAGGATCTTGCATATTGTATCGTAGATACAAGTATTCGCGGTATAGATAGATTTATTTTTCTTAATGACTAAAACATAAGGTATAGATTTGGGGGTTTTTAAAAATTAAAAACAATGTTTAAGGTAGTGATCTGCATCGGGCATAATTTTTCAAGCCCGGCCCGGCCCGAAATTTTTTTTTAAAAAGTTTTGCCGGATAAATTAATTTTTATAATTACTTAAAATAAAAGACATATGTTATATAGCGTTAAGTTTCAATAAATTAAATCAAAAATTTTTATTTTACATAAAAAATTCAATATAAAATTGATAAATTTAGATATATTTAATAAAATTTCCAAACTCCGACCCGACCCGGCCCAAAATTTTTTTAAAAATATTAGGCCCTGCCTGGCCCGAACTCAATTATTTTAAATAGAATTAGGCCCGAGCCGGGCCTAACTTTGCAGATCTCTAGTTTAAGGTATATATATTATTTTCCTTTATAGATAATAAAATTTAATAAACTAAAATATATTTTAAATAAAATATGCAAGTATAACAGCTTCGAACAATTGTGCATCAATTTCACCAACGAAAAATTGCAGCAATTTTTTAATCATCACATGTTCATCCTGGAACAAGAGGAATATAAGAGAGAAGGAATCGACTGGGAATTCATAGACTTTGGACTTGATTTACAAGCTTGTATCGATTTGATCGAAAAGGTTATAATCAACATTTATAATTATTGATTTTTTTTCTAACTTAACAATTTATAGCTAATAATAATATCATGAAATAGCCTTAAAAAGTCTAATATAAAGATTTGAATTATTTCGCATTTAAATAATGCTCATTCATGTATTATACTTGATTATAAATATTTAGCCCATGGGTATTCTTTCCATCTTGGAAGAGGAATGTATCGTGCCAAAAGCTACCGATAAGACATTCTTGCAGAAAGTTATGGACACTCATTTGGGAAAATCACCTTGCTTGGGTAAACCTAAGTTAGCGCAAAAATCATCGCGTGAGGCGCACATGGAAATCAAGCATTACGCTGGCACCGTAAAATAAAACAAATATATTTTAGTAGCTTGATTATTAAAATGTTCTATATGCGTTTTAGTTTACAATTGAGATCAAAAGGTTATATATTAGATATACTTTATAAAATCATCTCTTTCCGATATGAATGCTCCATCTGCAATCTATAACAAAAATTAAAATGTATATAATAAAAAATCCTGCTTCCTATTTAAAAAAAATGCATTGCAAGAAGTTGTGACAGAACATTTTAATAATCAAGGAAATATCAAAAGCATTTTGGTGTTCAATATTCCACTCAAAATGAACACCATTTTTTAATAAATCATACAATAGAGATGCCACTTTTGCAAATTTCTCCACAAAACGATGATAATAATTTATCATACCCAAAAATGATTATAACTCAGCTTTATTGGTTGGCTGATTCATATTTGTTATATTTTTTAAATTTTTCTCAAGAGGTTTCACCTCCATTCCTTTAATTTGATGTCCTAAATAGATAAATTCTGTAACCCCAGATGATAATATAGTTATTATTTAATGTGTATTGTTGTAATCGAATTAAAGAAATTTAGTAATAATTCTCCTAGGATAATTGTTTTGCCAGTAGATAAATACAAAATGGCTCAAAAGTATTTGACCAAATTGTCTGAAATTTTATAGAATAGGTATTCTACACATTTAGTAAACCCTGTCTAATTTAGGCACCGTTGAGATCAAGATTTCTGTCCAACCTAAACAGTTGTCCAATATATCAAGACAATAATTTATAGGAATTTGATTGAAAATCAAAATTTGGTCAAATTAGGCAGTTTTCTGAATTATCAATAGCCGAAATTATACAAATTTTATTGTGTATAATACTGGAATAACCTTTTAGACAAAATCAGATCTTTTTAAATTTGAAAAATGGGCTCAACAAAACTTTTAAATCATATTTATTTTAAGGAGTTTTTTTTTAATTTTAAAAATTTGATTTTATTGGAAATGTATTTTAGCATTTGGTGGAATAACCTGACCTATTAAATTTCTGGATTATGGTTCAATTCGAGGAAATTGCCATTATAACAACTGATATATTTAAATTTCTATTCATCTATTTTATAATCACATGACCTGTCAGATTTGACAGGTTATATAACCCAATCGAAACCTTGACTCATATCTCTCAAACTTTTAAATTACTTAACCCATACCTCCCTAACCTTTAATGCCACTCCTGATACATATTTAATTTTAAATATATTTCATCCAATTGAAAAATTTCCCTCAGGTGAACATTCCTTGAGTTGAACCATTATCAAATTTCAGACGAGTTCATAAGATAATACGTATACATGATTACGCGAACCAGACTTTAAACCGAATCTACAGGAACAAACCGTTATAATTTTTTGTAACCGTAACCGAACCGTTATAAAGAAAATATAAAAGAGCGAACCGAACTCTTATCGCCATTATTTTCAATCAATAACAAGTTTATTGCTTTTACCAATTTAATAGAAATTAGGCAATTTACTAGTTAGATAAGAAATAATCTTCAAGGTTAAATTAAATAAGGAATTAAAAATATAAATTAAAAGATTTTTCTCTAAGATTAATGATTAATAGGTATGGTTTATGATTAATTTTTTTAAGGAACGAACCGTTATAAATTCTAAACCGAACTGAAACCTATATGAATTTCTTCAAAAAAAAACCCAAAATGGAACAAAACCTTTATAAAATCTTTAACTAAATACCGGAAAAACCCGAGCCCGCAAAACTTAAAGGTTCGTAGTCTTGTTACGAACTTTGTAAACATTATTATAATAAAAATATTAAATGGTGGTATATTTTTAACCCATCAATGAAATAACTTTGTTAATTAAACCTAAATATATGTGATATAATGAATCATAGGCAGAAACGTGCTTATACTTTTGGCGGCCAAGGGCAATTATATTCTAGGTGTTGCTACATCACGTGTTTTCTTTTAAAATGATAACTTTTATGAGTTTTTTTATTAATCAAAGGTGCCTTACAACGTCGACAATTGGTTGGATAAAAATAAGGATCCTCTGAATGAATCGGTCTTGACAGTTTTCTCCAAATCTACAAATCATCTCTTGGCCGATCTATGGAAGGACAGAGCTTCTGCTGACGGTTTTTTTAAACTAATAATGAAAAATAATTTAATAAAATTTTAATTAATTAAAATGATTAGACGAAAAGAGTTCCGGAAAGAAAGGAAAAGGATCTAGCTTTCAAACTATTTCGGTACTTTACAAGGTAAAATAATGCTCTACTTGTTTCTTAGTATTTTTTTTTTAAATAAAAGGAAATAGAAAACCATATAAAAACGAAAAACCCAAACTTTTAATTTTTAAAATTTAGGAACAATTGAATAAACTTATGACGACTTTGAAAAATACTCACCCACATTTCGTAAGATGCATCATTCCCAATGAACACAAAGGACCCGGTATATAGTCCATTTTTTGTTTTCGCGAAATTTTTTTTTAACTATAAAAACATTAATAAACAGTTTTTTATTTTAAGTTTGGTTTTATTGGGGGTTTTTTAAAGGTTAAATTCATTCCCTTACTAAATAACCGGTTTTTTTTCCATATTAACTACATGTTTCTTGCTCTATTAACACAATTTGTTCTTTATTACTGATGTGTGTGGGGGGGGGGGGGATATATTGAGAAACTACAAAAAACGATCATTTTTATTTTAAGGTGAGTTGGACGCAGAATTGGTCATGAATCAATTGACTTGCAATGGCGTATTGGAAGGTATCAGGATTTGTAGGAAAGGTTTCCCTAATCGTTTAATGTATGCCGATTTCAAGCAAAGGTAATTTCATTTCCTTTATTAATTTAGTATTCGGCAAAACAACCGGATTGAGTCGAGCCCCCATATTTTTTGACATATTTGGGTCGGGATTCGGGTTTGGCGACCATCTTTTACCGATCTCAAAATTCTTCATAATTACAAATTTCCAAATGATGACTTCGCTCAAATCTTTTTCCTTCATATAGGTATACCATTTTGGCTCCACAGGCCGTGCCCAAAGAAGGGTTCGCTGACAATAAAGAAATTACCGGAAAAATTATCAACGAATGCCAGTTGGAACCTAACGAATACAAAATGGGCCATACCAAGATATTCTTTAAGGCCGGTATTTTGGGTCAACTAGAAGATATGAGAGACGAAAGGATAGGCAAGATCATTACCTACTTCCAGGTTTCCTATTTTGTCATCTGATATATATTCATTGAGGAACATATTTTTTATAGGCCTGCTTAATCCCAATGAGATTAAAGAATTTTGAAAATGAATTGATGCCAATTTTTAAATATATATTTGTATATTGTATTTTATAAAATAAATAAATGAATAAATGAAAGGCATGGATCAGGGCTAATCTCATGAAGAAACGCTTCAAGAAATTGAAGGAACAGAGGACGGCTCTTGTCATCATTCAAAGGAACATCCGAAAATGGTTATTAATGCGCAATTGGTTATGGTGGAAGTTGTACACTAAAGTATTTTATTATTTATGTCCTTCTTTTAGATTTGAGAAAGAAAAACCACTGAATTTTGGAATCGGGTCAAATTTAAGAACCGGAAACAGAACCTCGAACTGTAAAAAGAACCATATTTTTAGTTTAGGTTCCAAATTCTCTTTGTTTTTTTTAAAACACACGAATTCAGATTGTGGTATTTATGAATTTTTTTTTATAACTTAACTCTTAATAAATGTATATTGTTTGATTTTAAAAAAACTCACATAAAAAAATATACTTTTTAATAATAAATTTATTTTCACCTAGGTCAAACCTATGTTGAGCGTCGCCAGGCAAGAAGAAGATATGAAAAAATTGAAAGACGAATTCGATAAGTTGAAAGAAGATTTCGATAAAGAAACAGCATTAAGGAAAGATCTAGAAAATAAAACGACCCACTTGACCCAAGAGAAAAACGATTTAATGTTGCAACTCGAGGCCGAGAAGGAAAACACGAACGATTTGGAAGAAAAGGCCGAAAATCTCATCAAACAAAAAGTGGAATTGGAATCACAAATGACGGATTTGAACGATAGACTGGCAGAGGAGGAAGAACAGAACGCCACCCTTTCATCCGCCAAAAGGAAAACCGAACAAGAAATGGTCGAACTGAAAAAGGTTAACCTTTATTCATTTTACAAATTCCACTTAGTTTTACAATTTTCAACATCTTTTTCCCATTCAAATCTAAACCACAAACACTTCCCATACTATGGAAGCAACATGAGTTCCTCCCCATCTTTCTTTTACATACTGCCTCTTATATATTCTTCTGACATTCTTTCAGCTGTGATGTAATATCATAATATAATACTACCAATTCTCATTTTTTTATTATATTTTTCTTACTGCCCCCTCCCCTCCTCCCAAATATCTTTTAACCCCCTTTTTTTAAAAAAAATACCTCGCTAGAGTTTGTACATCGATATCCATTTGTCAGATGTTTTTGAATTAAATTTCTCCCTAATAGGATATCCAAGATCTGGAATTATCGCTCCAAAAAACGGAACAGGAGAAACAATCCCGAGAAAATCAGATCAGACAATTGCAGGACGAGATGACCAAACAGGACGAATTGATTTCCAAGGTGAGCAAGGAGAAGAAAAGTTTGGACGAGACCCTTAAAAAGACTCAGGACGATTTGAACGCGACGGAGGATAAGGTTAACCACTTGAATAAGGTCAAAGCTAAATTGGAACAAACTCTGGACGAGTTGGAGGACAGCTTAGAACATGAGAAAAAAATTAGAGCCGACCTCGAGAAAAGCAAGAAGAAATTGGAGCAAGACTTAAAATTGTCCCAGGTAAAAGGATTTCCCTAAATTTTAACCTTTTTTTTTTACCTTGCTATTGGAATTGAAAAACTTAATAATACTATTCAAACAATTTATAGTCACATGGGGTTTATCAGATCTGATTTATTTTTAGTGAATAGAGTTAGGTATATTTTGAAAATACGCGCTTTCGAAGGTGGGAAAAAAATATAAGATCGAAATTATTTCCATAACAAATGTAGTTAAACCAGAGTCAATGAAACATAGCTCTTGAATCCTTGAAGCCCCTGCTATATATATTTGTATAACTAGGAACAAGCGCAAGATTTGGATATAGCGAAGAAAGAATTGGAAGAAAACCTGAAGAGGAAAGAGAAAGATATAGCAAATTTCCAAACCCGTTTAGAAGACGAACAAAACATGGTTGGGCAACTACAAAGGAAAATCAAGGAATTACAGGTCTACACAAATACTTTATATTTATTTTACTCTAAGAATTTTATCGGTATCACTTAGATTTACTTGTTTTTTTAGTTTGGCCGTGGTTTGAATGAGTGCTCCAAATCTGAATAATTTTATAAACCCAATTCTTTCTTTTTTGTGAAAGGGCTCTCCAAAATTTTGGCGAGGGTCGAGCTTTTAACCCTAGTAACGCCATTGGTTGAATTATCTTTATACAATAATATTGTAATTTGCGGCTTCAATCTTTTTTTTTATCCTTAATTTTTTTAAAAAAAAAAAAATTTGTGGAAATATCTCATATTTTGAAAAAAAATTAAATTTCGATTTGCTTTCAAAAAATCATATAATACGTAATAACCTTGGATGTTACACATGTGCTGGTATTTATTTTTAATTGAAAGATGGGAAATTTTCTCGGACATTCTATTGATAAGGCAGGCTATCAATTTTTTCATTCTAATTATATTTAATACTTTAAAAATTAAATTTATCATCGTATTCGTTAATTGATGTAAATTTACATTTACTATAAACGTTAAATAAATTTCATTATTGGGCAATCTAAATTTAATATGAATTTAGGATTGTTCCACATAGTATCTTAACGATTTTTGTAAGGAGGACATAGTATAATTTGAAAATAGTGAAATATTACAGTAAATTATTTGGGACCTTTCCACTTACTAGTAAGCTATTAATACTTGTTAGCAAGAGGATCCAACAAAAATTTATAAATTTTAAAGCATTTTAGATAAATGAATTTTTTTTCAGGAAATATATTAATCTTAAACCTAAACCAAGTCGAAAGTGGAAACCTTTATAAATCTTCTTATCACACTTGATAAGAATGAAAAGATATTTAATTCGATTTTATTTTGAATTTTTAAAGTTATTTTGTACAATATAATTTTTTTAATATTTATTTATATAATAATTTATATATAATATTTTTTGAAAAACAATTACATTATTATATTATAAATCTCGCATTAATAAGATGCAAACTTTTCCTTATAAAGCAAGAGAAGGTAGCACAAAAACATAAAATCTTCAAGAACACATTAAACACAATTTTCTCTTATTATCAATAATTGAAATGCTTATGAAAACGGGATTGAACAAATGTTTTTTATAGATTCTGTTGTTTTCTTTCTGAAATTTTATTATCTTTATTTTGGATTATTGGTTTAAAATTAATGAATTGAGTAAAGCAAATGGTTTTCAAAAAAAAAATTTTTTTTTTTACAAAAATATAAAAAATTTTTGATCATATTTTGCCATGTGGCCAAGCCATCTTCATGAACGTAAATTGTTAATTTGAAAGAAGAAAAAAATTTTTATCAATTTAGTTTTTAATTTTAAACCAATTTTAAAACACAAAAAATTATGAAAATCTTAAAAATTATATAGTTTATTATTTTTTTTACCTTTATATCCTCATTATTAGATATATTTTTTTTAAATATAAATTTTAAATAATTCAATAATTCAAATTAACCAAAAATTTAAAATAAAACATTGCGAAAAATTAAAATATTTTCTTGAAATAATATAACTTTTATAAATCGGCCGCATATTTTTTAGGATACGCGCACCCGCAATATTATAATATTATGTATATACTTGTAAATATCTGGAAAACACTTTTTCGTCTTCTATAAATATAAACCTTCCTAGCATTCTATTCTTGCATTAAAATAAATAAGGGATTGAAGCATTCTTTTTCCTGAAAAGCTTGTATTATTATATAGGCTATCTCGCATTTACAAATTATATATATAATCATCATCTACCATAATCCTATATTCGCCCCAATCTCATACCCGTAATTTAAAATATGGACCAAGCTAAAATCGAATCTTACGATATTCAAGAGGTAACGCCAGTACTTGTGGGGACTAAAAACGGTAACGGTAAAAGGGGGACCAACGAGAAAAAATCGTCTGGAGTTAATTCTGATGATAGCCCATTGGCATCTATCAGTGCCACGACTAACGGAGTTCAAGTTATGGATGTAAAGGCTAAAGCTGCCCCTGTTATCACTCACCAAATCCACAAACCCACCCCACAAGTGACTGCGGAAAGGGCATCCCATCGCACCAATGGCAAGGATTCGACTAGATCCTTTGCACCATCCCGGGATTACCATTATGTTAACCCGGACCCTTATTCCCCTTATTCTTCTTATTTCAGCTCAGAATATAATCCTAGGTTGGACCATTTAAGAATACCTGGTAGGGATTACATGTATACTTCCCCATCACCCAGCCTCTCCACCAGGAGTCGTAGGATCATCAGGGAGAGTGCTGAAGTTGAATTAGGACAAATATTGCCAAGAACTGAACGTTCGATGTTAGAAGTATATCGTATATTTTAAAGAAAAATTGATTTATTACAAACTTGTCTCACATTTTCGCATAATAGTAAAATTGATAATTTGCCACCAAATACAATTTTTGTTATCAAACTTCAAAAATTTTTTTTTACAAAATTATAACCAAATTTTTGGTCACGTGGAACCCCATTTTCTGGTTCCTTTATAATTATTAATAACATCATATTTTGGCGTTTAAAGTGGTGACTACGAAAATTCCATTTTATCTGGTACTATAATAGGATTTTTTTATCGTTTCAAATTATTACAGAGTCGCATTGAAGAATTGGAAGAAGAACTCGAAGCTGAACGCCAAGCTCGTTCTAAGGTATTTATTTATTGATTAATTTATTTTTAAATTCTTACACCTGAGACCCGACGTGCCGGGCAGGATAAAACCAGGACCGGGTCAAAATCAATAGATTTATAATCCGGGCAGGTTTAGTAAACCCAAATTAGATATGTAAATGGGTGCTTATTCAGGTCTCTGATAAATGTAATTCAAAGGGGGTACCACACTATAATTCAAAAGGGATATTTTTAAATGAATCAAATAGTTTATTAAGAATCATCAGATTAGTTTTAGATCGAATTGCCTAAAATAAAATATTAAATTGATTGTTTATTAATCAAATAAATAATTTTTAGAATTTATAATATGAGTAATAATGTCCCATCTTATAGTATGCGCGATTCGTTCAGGTGTCTCGAAATTGATTGCTAGAATAATCACAGCTAATTCTTCGCAGGAATTTTAACATTTCGCTCAGTATATTTGTAAATTATACCTGTTATTCGCTTATTTCGCATTTTATTTTTACGGATTAGTTTTCTTTCTTAAATCATAATGATCGATCTAAGGTTAACTACGCTGGAAACTCACCTTGAAATACTAAAAATTTACAATGTGTATGATCACAATATTTATCTTCTCGCCTAACAGGTGGATAAACAAAGAGCCGAGTTGGCCAGAGAACTGGACGATTTGACAGAGAGATTAGAAGAGCAGGGAGGTGCCAGCGCTGCTCAGATGGATTTGAACAAGAAGCGAGAAGCCGAAATCCAAAAATTGAGGAGGGATTTGGAAGAATCGAACATGCAACACGAAGCCACTACGAACGCCCTTAGGAAAAAGCACAACGACGCCGTAGCGCAAATGGGCGAGCAACTAGATCAATTGCAAAAAATCAAGGCCAAGTATAAATTGATTGACTATAAACTATTTCTTCATTATTAAAAAAATTAGCTGTCATAATTCTATGTATGATATATATCTCATTTTAACTAAGGTGGTCTATAAAATTGTTCAAATTTTATTATTAAAATTGCTCTGTGATTGTATTTCAATTTATAGCATGTTAATTTATATGTAAAAAAAAATATATATTTATATAAAGACTAGAAAAAGAGAAGGCTCAGATGAAATCCGAATTAGATGATCTTTCATCTGGCGGAGAACACGTTGTTAAAGCCAAAGTTATATTTTATTTATATTCTTATTGATTCCCGAGAAAAATAAAAATCTCAAATTTTTAAAATATTATACTAATTTTTAAAAAAAATTAAATAAAACTAGGCTCAAGCTGAAAAGGCCATTAAAGCTATCGAAGCCCAATTGGCCGAAAGTCAGATAAAATTGGACGAAAGTTCTAGAAACGTGAACGAATTAGCTAACAGTAAAAATCGCCTGCAAAACGAAAACGCCGAACTTCAAAAGCAATTGGAGGAAGCGGAATCTCAACTAAATCAAATCAACAAGGTCAAAACTCAGCTCACCACCCAGATAAACGAATTGAGAAATGCCTTGGAAGAAGAATCTAGGGTAAAATGTCTATTACTTTAATTTTAGAATTTTTTTGTTTTGTAAAAATGCGCTTTCCATTGGTTGTTACTTCGGAAATTTTTAAAAAATATATAATTTATTCATGGGGGTAAATTATTAATTTCTTTTAAATAATAGGAAAAATCTCAACTTAGCTCACAGCTGAGGAACGCCCAGCACGATCTAGATCAATTAAAGGATCAACTTGACGAGGAACAAGAAGCCAAGACCGAAATTCAACGACAATTCACTAAAGTTAACAGCGAATATGCCGCTCTTAAAGCCAAATTTGACGGCGAATCCGTACAACGATCCGAAGAATTGGAAGAATCAAGGTACTATTTGATGGATTGAAAAGGGGCGTCTTAATTGACAATTTTCTTTTGGGAAGTTAATTTAATTACCCAATTAAAATAACTTGTCATTATGAAAAATTTGTTTTATAGAAGAAAAGATTTGACTATCTGCTTATATTCGCATATTTCTTTTCTATTCCAACCTACACCTTTTCGAACAATAAAATTATAGGAAAAAGCTTCAACAAAGATTGCAACAAGCAGAGGAAGCCCTCGAAGCAGCCCAAGTTAAAATTTCGTCCCTGGAAAAAACTAAGCAACGTCTGACCAGCGAATTAGACGACGCTCAAATCGACGTTGAAAGGGTATATCTAATTATTTTTTCTTTTCCTCCTTATTTCATTTCAATATGTTTTCTCCTTTCTTTTAATTTTATTTTCTTTCATGAAATTGACAAAATATAAAATAAAACTTCAAATTTTATTTGCCACAAAATAAAGGCCAATAATAGCGCTTCATCGTTCGAGAAAAAGCAAAAAGGTTTCGACAAGACAATCGCCGAATGGAAGCAAAAAGTAGCCGATATCAAAGCCGAACTAGATAATTCCCAGAAAGAAAACCGAAATATTTCTACCGAAGTAATCAGACTCAAAACCCACCAGGAAGAGTTTGATGATCATATCGATTCCCTGAAGAGAGAAAACAAAAACTTGCAAGGTTTTATATATTATGTTTTTCCTTAAGGATGGTCAGAGCTTCATCATGGACATTTGTCGTTCTTCGACAGAAAATGGATAGGATTGACGGGCGGGCAAAGTGACATATTTCTGAAGGGATGGGGTTATGACAGTTTACAACTTACTATGCGGATCTTGCGATTAATTAATTATTTAAATTTCTGGTAAAATTAGATATTTTAGTAATATGAAAGATTTAGTGATTTGAAAATTTTTCACGTATTATAATATAATTCATTTTTTTCTTTATAGACGAGATTAAAGATTTAGTTGATACGATGTCCGAAGAAGGCAAATCGGTTCACGAACTCGATAAAACCCGCAAGAGACTCGAAGTCGAAAAAGAAGAAATTCAATCCGCGCTCGAAGAAGCCGAATCGGCTCTAGAACAAGAAGAAGGCAAATTAATGAGAACCCAATTGGAGTTAGCTCAGATTAGGCAGGAAATTGACAGGAGATTGCAAGAAAAGGACGAAGAATTCGACAACACTAGGTTTTCATGTTTGCGCTAATTTTTCAAATTTTTTAAAAAAAAGTAGTAGCTGGTTTATATCATATAATTATTTTATTATTAAAATTTATTATCCCCTCCAAGGAAAAATCATTCTCGCATGGTGGAAAGTATGCAAGCCAGCTTGGAAGCGGAGGTCAGGGGCAAAGCCGAGGCTCTGAAGATGAAGAAGAAACTAGAATCCAACATTAACGAATTGGAGATTGCCGTCGACCAAGCCAATAGAGCGAACGCCGAGGCCCAAAAGAACATTAAAAAGTATCAAGATCAAATTAAACAGCTTCAAACCCAAGTGGAGGAAGAGCAGAGGTCACGAGACGATGCCAGAGAACAGTACAACATGTCCGAGAGGCGCTGCAATATACTTCAAGTTAATTTTTTTGATATATTATAAATGATGTGACGACTCCCCTCTCTACCTTCCACTTACAAATTAGGAAACCCACCCTTACCGCCCTCTTTATATTAATTTATTCGCCCTCTTCCTCCCTTCTATTTTAAAGCATCATCACAGACTTCTTCCTTTCTATTACTGGCGCAGTTGGGATTTTATCAGACTATATAATATTTGAAAATTTTTGAATAGAATAATTGAATCTTATAAATGTCTCTTGTAATATTAGTCTTTCTTTTTATGGGGTTCATCTAGAATGGTCTAGTAAGATGTTATGTTTTTAAGAGTCCATGATGTGACAGGTCAAGTTGATGATTTTCATAATTAGATACTTTAGAATAATATTTATTTTTTTAAAAATTAAGATTTATATATTTATATATCGAAACATTGTTTAAATTAATAAGCCGCTTTTTGGGTCCAGTTTCGGTTGTGGGTAGTTTTCTTAGTTCTTAATAAAGTCTTCTGTCCAAAATAAGGTTATGATTGGCAGGAATACTGTCCGAAGGTATATAAGGTTGTGATTAGCAGGAATATTATACGTTGCAATATTTTCGATTCTTAGTTTCTAACTCTTAACTTGGTTATTTTATTGATCAATCTGGAATTAGTTAACTTATATTTATAATTTATTATTTTTTATTATTTTTAAAATTCAGGGTGAAATCGAGGAGATCCGATCCGCCTTGGAAAATTCTGAAAGAGTGCGAAGGAGCTTAGAATTGGAACTCAGCGATACCAATGAAAGAGCTAATGACGCCACTGCCCAAGTTACGTCCCTGAACGGTCAAAAGAGGAAAATGGAAAGCGAATTAGCATCCCTTAAGACCGATCTTGACGAGAGTATCAACAATCAAAAAGATTTGGAAGATAAATTTAAAAAGGTTTTATTATACTTATTTACCATTTAGGGAAAAATATTTCATTTGTAATAATTATTATGTAAAAATATAGAATTGGCTTAAGCTATACGTAATCTTGATGTTGATGAGTCTTATGTTAATTGATTTATTAAAATTATTTGGTTGGAGTTGCTCTTTACCCATTAGGTAATAAGAATGATGACTTTCCTTATAAATAATTAATCTAATTTATGCGAATAAAACTATTAAAAACGCTATTTTCACTCCTAAATATATTTTGTGTTTTTTTTTCTCTGGCAAATATTTAAAGAGCCTTATGGATGTGCAAAGATTGGCTGAAGAATTGAAGCAAGAACAAGACCATTCATTGCAAGTCGAAAAAAATCGCAAACAAATGGAAGTTCAAATCAAGGAGATGCAAGCGCGTTTGGATGAAGCTGAGGGTAACGTTTTGAAAGGCGGAAAAAAATTGATCGTTAAATTGGAAACTAAGGTTCGAATAATTATTGATTAATAACGATTTTCATCTATTTGCATGTCTCTAAGTAGATGACGCCATCGATAAATGTGGATCATCAATATGACATTTAAAAAATGTAAATGCACATATAATATATTAAAAAGATTCGTGAATTGACAAATGAAGCCGAGGCAGCAAATAGGCGATTCGCCGAAGCCGATAAATCGTCCAAGGCTAAAGAGAGACGCGTCAAGGAAATGCAATTTGAAATTGACGAAGCCAAAAAGAGCCAAACCCATTTCCAGGATTTGGTGGATCAAATGCAACAAAAGATCAAGATTTACAAGCGGCAAGTCGAAGAAGCGGTAAGTTTATTTTAACAGCAAGTCTTATTTAGTATTAAAATTAAACTTTAAATAACTTATAATTCTCTTTAACGAATGTATTGTGTCTCGAAGTTCAACAAAACCTCAAAAGATTTACTAAATTAAATATTTTTTTACAAACAAGTTCAAATTTCTTAATTAAACACTCATGCCCACGATTTTGTTTATGAACAAACAATAAAGGTCTTCTTCTTATTTGAAATAGAATCTTGAATGAATCCTCTTCTAACCCTATTTTATTCAATGATTTATACGAATAGGAAGAAGTAGCCAGCATGAACTTAGGCAAATACCGCAAACTACAACACGAATTGGAGGAAGCTGAAGAAAGAGCCGAAAGCTCTGAGCAAGCACTCACAAAAATGAGGGCCAAGAACAGAAGTTCCCCATCTGTAGGCCCCCCAGCACCCCGTCTACCATCTGGAATAGGATCAGCTGTAAAAAATTATTTATATTTTTTTTAAAAAAACATGGAATAAGGATTTTCTGAGATGTTTATAAATTTAAGGATATCATAAGCGCGAAAGAGCATTGGTTATAATTTAGGCTATTACAATTATTATTTTTTCAATCTAATCTGTTGTCAGGTATTGAAAGTTGGTAATCTCTCAAAAGAGATCAAAATTGATAAAAGTTAGGAGAACTTGTGACTTACCTTTAAAGGCTGTTTTTTTTCGAGCTAAGAGATGATTTTATATGTTTATCTAAGAATATGAGGTGATTGAAATTAATGATTGATTTGGACTCCAACTTAAAGATAGTTCTTAATGGTCGCAAAATTGCTCATTTTATCAATTTTTTTTAAAAAAAATTTACTATATAAATTAGCGACCAAGTCCCATGCCCAGGTCACCCAGAAGAGCCTTAGAAGACCTCGAATAAATGATCCTTCAACACATTTTTAAAATTTTATATATTATAACAAATAATGAATTTCAAATGTTTTGTGACAATATTTATATATTTTTTTTCAAATTGATTTTTAATATAACAATAATTAGTTTTTTTTTTAATAAAAAACATTTTACAGGTCTTATACCATAAAATGAAGAATATTTATCATTTTTTTCATGAAAGAGATTGCATTAGAATAATTTTGTTCCCTACTGATTTTCTAAATGAAATAATATGTGCATTATATAGTTTTACACCTCCCCTTTCTTTTTTTTTTGATAAATCTGCCGCCTTCGAACTTATCTTAATATATATATTATTATACTTTTTTGATTGAAATATGTTATTACCCATCTATCATACTTGAAAATATAATATCATCAATATTCTCCGATATTATTCTGTTTTACCGATATACATTGTATTTTTTTTCTTATCTCATGCATTAGCGGATAGTTTTTATAACATTAGTTTACCTTTAATTTTTGTTAATTTTAAAAAATCATCATCATTAATATTTCTTTATTTTTTATTTTCGGTAGTTATAATTTATAATAATATTATTTTATAATTGATTCTTAAATTTGGGGTTTCCTTGCAATAAATTTATTTCTCATCACATTAATAAAAAAAAAATATATATGATTCTTTTAAAATAAATAGCAGAATAAAATAAATTTGAATTGTTTACTCAGTTATAAAAAATAAGGAGAGCGTGGAGGCATGAACACGAATGTCTAAATAAATGGAAAATAAATTATTTTATTAATATAATATTAATTATACTTTATACTCTTCAAACACTGGAAGGGTTCAACATTGCCGCTTAAAATGTTAAAATTTCTTACCGAAATATCGCTTTATCATTATTATTCATAATAATAATATTTTTATTTTTTAAGTAAGTTTTATAGATAGAAGAAAATGTAAAATATATGTGGCTGAAGTAATAGAAGGAAAAATAAAGACCAAAACTAACTCAAAGCTATGATCTAAGTATACACCATTTTACTGACCACTAAGCAAAGCACTGGGAAAAGTAAACATACACACGATTGAACGAACATCCGCTCATAATATCCAAGCGAGAGGCGTATTTTATTTTTCACGTTGGGGAATTCGAACGTTTATCAATTATTTTTTAAAATATATAAAATATTTCCAATTTTTATAATAATTTTTAAATTTTAGAATATTATTATTTTTATTATAAAAGCTTTTATTTATTAAAACTTTTTATCATAACATTATAAAATTATAAAACAATATTAAAATAAAGACACAATTTCATATTTGTGTTCCCAAAAAGTATTATATCTAAAAAAAAAATTTCTTTGAATTTTTTGACGTATATATAAAAATTCTATGTTTTCTTTTGCAAAAATGCCGAATTTTGCTTGCCAAATTTTTTTTTTCAACTTATAGGATCGCATTTATTTAGCCATTAAAGCAATTAATATTGGTTAATGAAGTTCATCGAGCATTATCAATTTGCTTCTAACAACATGGTGATGAAAATCGTAGGGAAGTGGAAGAGAAGGCGGAGGTTGAACAATAGATAATTTAGTGTTAGATAGTTAAAATCTCAAACAACCATGGAGCTTGAATCACGTGTTTATATTGATGAATACAACTGATTTAATTCCATCCCCAATTTTTTTTCCTCAGAAAGAATTACAAATTTATTTTATCCTGTATTTTTTCTTAATTATAAACTTTGCAGCTATATTTTATTTCTTGAAATAATGATAAGAACCCTTTGGAATGAGATGTCTAAAATCTTTAAATGAATGTACAAAGTGCCAGAGAATGTAGGATATGATAAAATGGATCATTAGAGAGTATCATATCAAAAACCAAATCCATGTGCAATTAAGTAAAAAATTACATAATTTAGAATTTTCTTAGAATATTGGACTTTATATGAATAAAAATGAAACTATTTATCAAAACTTTCCTTACACATTTAAATTCTGGGTTCGACAAAAGTACAACATTTTTCTAGAGAATTAAAGGAGAGGGGGGCGAGGGAGGAAGTTTAGAGGAATAATTTTGATTGGCTTAAAAAGTTTTTACGAAAGAAGTCCGCCATAGTACAGCCAATCATATTGACTACACTGACCTCAATGTATGCACACTTAATAATATAATAAATAGCAGTAGCGCCACTGGGGGGGGGGGGAGTGCACAGGAGCTAGATGCTCTATGAAAAAATTTAAAGAGCCCTCTAAATATTTTGAATTTTTTAAAAAATATATATTATAAAAAGGGTAATTTTGAAAATGTTAAAAATTAGGGTCATTTAAAAAAATTATTTCGAGTCTCTTGATATTGTAAAGGTTTATGACGCCACTGATGAATAGTCAATCTAGGGAGCATAATATTATGTGCATTACAATTATCATGATATATATTTACAATTAAAATCATTTTTTGAATCTGGCTCAAAAAGACTAATATGGGAGGGGGCAAGAGTGACATAACTACATCCAAGAATCCCGGGGGGGGGGGGAATGGCGCAAACTTATAGATATTATATAGATTTACACATATATAAAAATATAATCTTTTTTTTAAAAGTTATTTTGTATTAAATTCACCTTTGTTTTCTCACAATTCACTCCAAGAAATGAATTTTGCTGTTGATTTGAACGAAACTCGGCTTACAAAATTATTTTTGGATTTATAATTTGCAACATTGTTTATATATGGATAATATTTATCATAAAAATAAAGCATTAAATATCTATTTTTACAAAAATAGAGAGGTATATTTTAAAGAAAAAACATTTAAAATGGAAAAGGCAGATTCCGCTCTTGCCCCCCCCCCTTATTCCACTGAGATTCGATTTAATCTTAAACAAAAAAAAATTTCAGGTCATTTAAATTTTATATTATACACAATTCAAAGTTTTTTTAAAAACTTTTACTATACATTGGCTCTAATTAGATATGAAAAACGGTTTATTTCGAGAAAGAAAAAGGACAAAAAAAACACGAAAAAAAACAGACCAAAATAAAACAGACGGACGAAAATAAAACAGGCGAAAAAAAACAAAACAAATCTTCACTTAAAATATAAATAAACAATTTTTTTATTGCAAATTTTAATTTATGACCAATCATTTGAAATATAAGTTACTTAATTGTTCCAAATTTTTTTATTGCCATAATCATTTTAAAAATTTTTTTCACTTGTTTTAAAATTTAAAAATCGTCCTTAATAAATGATTCAAAATTGAGAGATTACGAATCTCCCATGGATTCCATTTCCATATCCGGATACCACATATATAAGTTATTTCTTTATTTAAATTAATTGTTAATATGTTTTATTATATTGAAGAAATTCGAAAAGTTTCAAAACATTCAGAAATTTTTAAATTTGAATTAAAATCATGATTTTATTTTTTATATATATAAAATAAAAGCTTATTTCTTATTTTTCGACGAAGTTTCTAAAAGTTTGCAAATTTCTTTTTTTTTGATATTCTTGGAAACATAATTAAATTAAAATAATTATAGTCAATAATAAATTTGAATATGCATAAAATTTAATAAATATTTTTGTATAAATAAAAATTAATAATATAAGGTTCAATATAATATATAATATTTACAATTTAAGATGCTATGTTTGTTTTTAATCCGATTTTCCTGAATACGTTTCATAGCTTATTCCATCACTCTGAAGAACTATATCGGAAACTAGGAAGTCCTTATATCTTTTCTCTATCTCTTGAATGATTTCGGAAGTGTGTGTAGTGGTTCCTGACATGTTTTCAATATAACATAACAAGATACATAAATTTTATTTATATTTTAAACAAATATTTTGTAAAGCTATGTCCAATTTTTAAAAAAAAATTAGAAAAGTTAAATTTTCAGAAATTTTAATATTTCAAAAAATTGATTTGGATCGAAGCTCTTCAGATTCAACGCTCAGATTATTTCTAAACAGCTGTTTTAGCCGTCATATAGCTTCTTCAAAACAGGCTAAAAAGAAAGAAGTGATTTAGATTTATAGTACCTGGGTCGACCTGAAATACATAAATTACTAGTAATATTTATTCAATCCTAGGCTTAATAAATAAGTTTTAAAGTTAACCTGAGTGTTGACACGGCCTCACTACCTTAAAATTGAATGATTAATATTTTAGCTAAAATAAAAAAGACTCAAAAGTTAAAAATCTTTGTCCAAAATTTATATGATTGGCATCTTTTTTTAACATTTATTACTGGAATACATTTATTTTAGGCAAAATCTGTTTTAAAAAATAAATGATTGTCTTTCATTTTTTAAAAAATTTTCAATATTCTAATCTTTCCTGAAATGTATTCAACCATAAATGTAGAATACCTATCCTGTTAGAACATTTTATAAGATATTATTACAGGCAATATATCTATTTGACTGATTGCGAATTGAATGTAACGTAACATATAGATATAAGAAAATGTAAGATGTAGAAGTACTAAATTTAAAAACTTACTAAGAGCTCTCATCAAAGTATATGCCATTTTAATAGCCACCAGGCAGAGCATCACAGAAAAGAAAACGTATATGTGATTGAACGAATGCCCGCTCATAATATCTGTGCGAAAGGTGTGAGGACAGACATTCAATGAACTCGAAAGTATAGGATAAATCTGATTTCCGCATTGGGGGCTCCTACATGTGACCATGGCTAAGTCTGCCTTCACTTTTTGTGGTAGTTGTTGGAAACCGATTTATTTAATTATTATTTTTTGTTGATTTTAGAACAATAATAAGGTTTGATATAATGCTTATTGTTCCTATATTTATACCAGAGGCCCTAGAAATATACCCGGGCCGGGTCTGAAAATATAAAACCAGGGGTGGGGGAAAAATCTCAAAAAATATCAATTGGGCCTTCTCTACAGGTCTCTGATTTCTTTATTATATCGAAAATAAATACGCTACATGAATATAATACGAATGAGAGGTCTGCAATGGACATAAAAATTAATAAATGAACAAAAAAAATTCTTGGGTTGAATTATACGAATGCTGATATTCGAATGAAGTGGTACTTCGTGAAGTGCATAATTTATAACAGGGATGTGAACTCTTCGACAAAAAAAGACGGTCCGGTCTGGGTCCGGGTTCAGGATTTGGAGAGCATAAGGAAATATTGACTAATAAATAACATAACCTTATATATATATATTTTTTACAGAGTATACACGTAATTTACAAGTAAAAATTTTTTTAAATTATTATATAATTTAATGTTTTAAAATGTTTTCTTTAATCGCTAAGCCATTATTATCATTAATAAAATATTAATACCTACAACAGAGATATGTAGTTTCGGGCCGAGCTGGGTCGTTTCTATTTTAAAAAATAATTTAGGGTCGGGCAGGTTGGGCTCAAATTTTCAAATATGATACAATTACATTTTATCAAATAAATTGATATATCTTAAAAATTCTTGCAAGCATCAAGGCGATAATATATTTTTTTTAAAAAATTTAATTTTTCTATATTTAAATAAATTTGGACTAGGCCGGGCGCACAAATAATAATTTTTATTTTTATTTCGAGTCGGGCTTTTAAGGTAAATTAA